CCATAAATCTGCTACGTAACCATAAACAGTGTTAAAGAAAATTCATTACCGCTCTTAAAATCTTTATCACTAAATTATTTGGAGTCAGGGAAACGAAATCGCAGGGATACCATTTGCAAATAGTGAAGTCTCTGTCATAAATTATCATCTATTTTAGCCTTCCTACTTTATTAAATAGATTTTCATTTGGTGAACCACTCATAAAATGATCTTTTCGAGTTTGCTATTGAACTGGAGCGAAACTGATTGATTTTAACGTTATATAGAATATATATGGAGTATTCAAAACATTTAACGTTGTCAGTTCCACTCTGTAAATGATAAAAATAATCTTCAGAAGTAGCCCTAAATGTATTGACGACCATACGAAAACATACCTACAGCGCATCTCATATAGTAAAAGATTAAGTTCGATTCTTTTTGAATTTCGCAAAAATATGCTGAAGTAGTTCCCTTGATCCTGATCAGCTCATCCCTATAATACACTCCTATCCATTACCGTTATTGGGAAATTTCAGTGAACACTCAACCTATTTCAAATTATTTAATTGTACACGGTATTAAGGAATTGCTCAAAATTCGAGATTATTTCAGTGACTTTGTTTTTTGAACTGCTGAAAGACCAAAATCGTTGTCTTTCAAAATTCACTTAAATGAATTTCATACAGACTCAGAAAATATAAATATTAACTCATATAAGCAAAGAAACGCTCTCTTAACTAGTTACTGACATTACATAATGTAGGACGAAATAATTTGTGATAGTTAGTTATTCAAGAAAAAAAAGTAGTCTAAACATGGACAATTGAAAAATATAAACATAAAGAGATGAATAGAACTATGGTGCAGGTGGGAAAGTTTAAGGTATATCTTTGACACTATTCTCATACTTCATATATTATTCAACCGGACAACAATTATTACTACTATTTCCGACAGTGCATAATTCCTAGAAGCTGAAAAGAAGCAGAACACTATTTTAGCACACAGCTCAAATTCAATGAGAACTAAATTTATACAGACGATTCATTTCGAACTCACTTGATATATTGTAACCACTGATTGACACATAAGGAGGACATTCTTGTGCTAACCATTTGTTGATTGATGCCGTAAAAGCATTTTAGAATACTTAGCCGGTACTGAAGGAGGAGACTGTTGGTACGAAGAAATAAAATACTGCTATTCATTTGTTCAGAAAGGCTTAACTAGTTTGGGCGTATATAAACCTGTCTATCGATAAAGGTACCACTTTATGATGATAACTGATGAACTATCAAGTAGTCTCTCTTTACTCCACTTATTATTTCTTTGGTACAAAATCGATATTTAGCCAATTTACTTCAAGTCCTACTACTTGTCCAACAGTTTTTTAAATGATAGCATTGTAACGGTATCGAAAATCATTACATCCGACGTTACTAATACGAGTTCGTTTTTCTTATTTCAGGGCAACAAAGAGTAAACGTACTGGAAGAAGAGTTACAAGCCTTACGTGAGCTGAACCTACAGAACAATGAATAAAACTGTTTTGTAATAAGTTTCCCTTTTTGTACTCAAACCGCGTCTTTCAATTTTAAAAATATATCTGTTGTGCGAGTAAATCGCTTTCTTACTTCAAAGGCATTCACCGGTCCTGACCGTGGTGCTCCAACATCCAGTGGGAAAAATGCACGAACCCACTTTTTGTCACCGGCTACCATGGGATCGTATCACCTAACGCTGTTATATCGCCTTATGGATTAAACCACTAGGTCAAAGGTTGAGAGAGTAGCCCTCCAGAGGAACCACCTGCTTAGGTTTAGACAACCAGAGAGTGCCCGATCCTACTCACAAATCAAATGATCGTCAAACTGAAAAATTTACTCTCTCAAGTTCGCATTCTCACGAACTGTGTCCACAATTATTCAATAACATTCAGATTGCATTTACTCTGTCACTTGCCTATTACCATTTTGGGCATCCTTTATTTTTCAACCTAAACAGCAGCTCGCCAATAGTGGAAATTATGTTTGATCTAAACGATCTCAAGTCACTGGTTGGCGGTTGAGTTCTACTACTGAATATGGATTCTGAACCAGCCTTTCTATAACAATGTGTGACGTTCGAGTTGGCCTTCTTCAACGTTCGCATACTAACGCAGATGGGACAATCGGTAGGGTTGATCATTTTTCTCAAGCATTAACATCGATGTCTGTTGTCTATCCTACATCCATACTCAGGACTTTAGTAAAAAACTAAAAATTTGCTCCCCATATTCCGCTTCGAAAAGCTTATTCCGCGTGCGTTCATCCGAGGACCCTATGGCATCTTCGTCTTGTTATGCTGGCGTTGATGTCACATCAAGGGCTAGGGTTGAGGCAACGTGTATCGATTGGGCTCCCCATTAACAATTGACCAAAAACACCATCAACGTGAGAAATCGTTGCGAAGAGCGACGTCTATTTGTTATCTCCGATTACGCCCCGATAGATTGTAGCCCGAATACAATGAAGGATGAGTCTCACCACCAGTTAGGCGATCTCACGAAAGCCTGTTTGGGAAATCTCGTAGTACTGGCAGGAGACTGGCGTCTAGGCAAAGAAGAGAGTCATTTAAGTGACTTTTGGGGACTTGTTGGCCTCAGGTTAGATAACTGCAGCCATCTACTGTAACTTCGTGTACTACGACCTGTTTCTAGTTACTATTAACTGTCGGCATACTCATCGCCAATGTGCTAGCTTGCACCCCGTGAACTTCCGATCCTGAAGCACCACAAATCACCGAGCCTTGATAATTTCCTTTCAGCCCTTTCCGGAGACCATCTGGTTATGGGACTGATTGAGTTATTTGCAAACGCTTGAGAATTAAAGTGTCCCAAAATCCTAGAATGAAACGATAGTAGTCACCACCTTCAAGATGAATCCCCCGTTCATCTTGGCAACTTGGACTGATGCATATGTGTGCCTGGTCCTACGTTGTAGCTGACTACCTTCAAAAAGGGTTTACGTAACCTACGCAATAATTAAAAGGGGATAAATCTACTTCTGATCGCGTCCAAACTATGAGCTTCCGTCATACTTCGTAAATTGTTCAAAACCCGAGAAGAAATGACTCGCGAGGAACAGGCTGGTTTCCGTTCTGGTCGAGGATGTATTAATCATATATTCACCCTCCGCCAAATGTTAGAACACTGCCATACTAATTGCAGGCCAACAACCGTTGCGTTTCTCGACATTAGGGCCACTGTCAATTTGTTGAACAGGACTGTTCTCTGAGATTGTTTATTGAAAGGTGTGCCTGAGTTTATCAATAGCTTGAGTACACCATAATACAAATACCTCAGGCACAGTGCAAACATACAACCATCTTTCTCCTTTATTTCATCAATCAGTGGGGTTACGCAGGGTTTTCCAGTCTCATTATTCCTTTTCAAGACTTTTATCGGTAACGTTTGGTAAACAGTTAGGATGGGAACAGGTAATGGTAGTATGGATCTAGTACCTGAGGAAAGACTTCGACTGCGAGCATACAGATGATATTGTTTTGCTGTGCGATGATATCCAAGTCATACAATCCGCATTTAATCAATTAGCAATTTGTGTCTGTATGAACGATATTTGTTCTTCATCTTCCAAGTCCAAATTACCATTAGAAGGCTGGTAGGACCGTAAACCTGAACCTACTCATGGTAGTGAGCAGATAATGTAGTCGAGGAATTCATGTACCTCATTTTCTTATAATGTGGCACATGTATTTCGATGCCCCTTGGTACCAACATGTGTTTAAATAAATAATTTTCAATTATCATTTAATTAGTACTTTGCTGTCTGTTTAAGCAATCAAATACTGCTGAAACCAAACAGAATGTCTTAATAGAAAAGTCAAAACAATCTAGACGTCATATAGCATATGTAATCTTTTATTCATTGGTAATGTAGTCAAAACAAATTAACTTGAAAGAGACAAGTTTCCAGTAGTAGTTAAATTGGTTGCAATTACGAAATTACAACCAACGTATGCGTATGGAGTGCTAAGTTTCTTTGAAAAGCTGATAAGAGGACATAACTAAGTAGTAATTTTTGCCATCGACTGATATCTAGCCTTTGAAAGTTTTTCTTACTGATGTCACCTTATTGTCTTCTGAGGTGCACGGAGTGAAATGCTTGAAAATAAGCTATTTAGAAGAGAAACTACTTCGCTTCGCATACCCACCTAGTATAATCTCTTGCGCAAAAGTAGAATCAGAAAGTTTCAGAAAATCGCCGTAGTCCATTTTGTTGAACTAGGTCTCTTTTAAATCGATTAATTTAGGACACCACGAATTCTAAAACGACATAAATGGAAAACGCGCTAGATGACTGAAAAGCTCCCTAAAATTTAACAGATTCGGCATTTCTATGGTTACCGAGTTTTTGGTTTAGTAGTCTCCGAATATTTCACCGCCTAAATATATAGCATCAAAGGGACAGACTTCAGCACTATTCTATTGAGCTGTCTTTTCTAATCCTTCACGTTACTGCTTGAAACTTAAATCATCTTCCTTAGACTTGAGCTCCAAGTCTGACCAAAGAGTTTGATAGTATGTATAATTATTTTATGAAAACCACTTTATTCATCTGCAGCGTTCCACTTATTGAGTTTATTTTGATACCGAGATGTCTGTAAAACAAAATAAATACAAGGGATGAGGGAATCTAACTATTGATGCTATAAGCTGGAACTATGTATTAAAAAAAGGACACACTTATTCTTAATCTTTCATTATAACAGATAAACTATCAATTACACAGAAATACAACGTGAAAGGTTGTATTCGATAATGTAGTTTAAAACATATACATAGGCGAAAATCATATATCACCTGAATTATTATAAAGGGAATAAGTCATGACACAGAAACAGAGAAAAAGGTGTGGAACGAGAACTCAAAAAGCCCCGTCTCCTTCATATTTGCAATATAATACAAAAAGCACGTGATTTCATCTGGTTAAATTAATGAACGGAGAAACATAGGATTATCATAGACCACCACGCAGCGAAAGTACTAAGTGGATTACTGAACCACCTTGCATTTTGTATTCCTGGACAAGTTTCTCATCATTCATCTGTTTACCGGAAAAAATCAGTCGTTGTTGTTGTGGTGGTATGCCTTCTTTTTCTTCAATTCTTTCTTTGATCCGTTCAACTTTGTCAGTTTGTTCAATGTCAATTTCAATTTCTTTGCCTGTTAATGTTTTCACTTTAATCAGCATACTGTAATATGGAAAAAAACCTTAGGCACTAATATACACATACAATAAGTTTCTTAGACTTGGAAGAAGCTATAAATACTATAGAAATTGTTTGGTAACCATTCCTAAACTATTTTTGCCACAGTTGATACATCCTGACTGGGGAAATTTTTATCAAAAGCTATGGAGTTGCACAAGATAATTACTCAGATTACTTAAAAAAAATAATATATCCATTAGAATTGTATAAAATGGCTTGTTGAAAAAATCCTTAAGCGTTGGATAAAAATGGTAATATTTAGGAAAATAATTTAAAACTACATAGTATGGACAGACAATGATAGCATGCAGAAATGAATAAATTCGGTATGAAGACACAACTAGATAAATAATACATTAAACTATGGGATAATGGTCACTGGCTTATAAGTTGAGTTTCGTAACATTTTGGACGGACTAGATACCTAACTTTCAGGGACCCCACTGAAGGAGTTGTGAATAGATAACTGATGCCAAGCAATACTACTGTTGATTTCACGCTACGGTGTCGTAAACAAGGTCAGATAACGGAAAATTACTTGCCATTCGGAAAAAACTATTCTGTATGAGACAAGCCTAGGTTGTTGTTGCTTGCGAACTGAGCGACATAAGTCTAACCCAGTTACTTGTACATATGGAACAGTTGGTTGGCTAATATGTTTAACCATAAAGTATTAAAGCAGATGACTTTAATTTGAAAGAATTATTACGCCGTCAGCAGCTAGTAAAATAACAAGATCTGTCTTCAACAATGCATGACATACGCAATACCTATGGCTTTTTATAATGCTGACATCGTCCATTAAACTTCAAACTAATGTGACAGATCTGAGGAAATTCCAGGCTGACACAAACTTCCGACTTTAAGGTTCCCCTAGTCAAATGAAAATCGGTAGTTCCCCTCTGAATTTGGGGAAAACCAAAGCGTTCCCATAATTCAGCGGAACTTCCCCCAAAAACAACCTGAATTTTAAAGAAAAACTCTGGATCATGAAGTATATTGGGGTTTTCGGTCTTACTTTCCCGAAATTCCTAAAACTTTCCCTAAGGTCGGGAGATGAGATATAGAGTTCTGAGAATATGGGTTGATAAAATGACTTGATCGTTTTGCGTCATCTGTTAAGCTCTGGAATCAGTAAGTCTAAATAAAGGATATAGTTAAACAATTATAGTAATAAGGCTATTGCCGTGAAGGAATTGAACGTATAAATGGTAGAACAAAAACAAAATTCATCCTTGTAGCTTGAAGAGGAGTGAAGATTTTTTGACTTTACCTAGCTTTTTGTTTGTACTAAGGTCAAAGGACAATGGGGAGACGCAGAGTATTTGGGTCACTGCCTCCTGACCGTGACGTACCACTTCACCTGACGCGCTCGACAGGCACTATATCCAATATCATTATCTTCAGAAGCTCGATCATTAATAGATAACAGTAAATATACTGTTCTATGGAAATCAAGAAAAAAACCTGTCATAAGTTGGTTTAGTTCCGGTTTCAATTGCAATAAATGTTCCAAGCAATCCTCGATATTTTTAACAGAATTTCGGTTTGTAAAAACAATCTTTCGTCTTTTGTTCTACTTTAATAACAATCACCAACAGAATCTTTCTTCGTATTTTTGTTCGAGGTATCGTAAGAGCTCACCCCACGTGTAGGGATTCGTTTCTATTCGGATGTTTGGATTACATAAATCAGTCCTCAGGAGTAAGCATAAGAGTTTGTGTTTAAGAAAAACAGAAAGTGAATGCTGATACTCTGCAAACGAAGTATTTCAGTGTGTTAGTGTGAAATCGTTTACCAAGAAATCACATTGCATTCGGAGTGACTTTACTTGATAAAGCGTTTCGACATGGCATGACCGTGTAATGTTCTCTCCAGATAGTTGTTGAGGTGGACTTCAAGATGAAAACTATATACGATACAAAGACGTCCATGGTTTTACAAGTTTGGGGGTGAAATACGGTACTAATTGTACGGTACTAAAATGTTTCATGTAAGAAGTATACCGCTGGTCATTGGGACCTAGTGGAAACGATGTTCTGTTTTTTTTCTGCCTGGACAACTTTAGGAAGATTTCATGCTCACAAGCGCCAAAACACTGGTGCGAATTCGTGAATAGTTGGGCCTTAGTAAAAACGTTTGTAAATTGTGTGATCGAGTGACTTTATACCATGTGTGGAAAAGAAAAGCAATGATGAGAATGTAGCTGTAAATAATTCCACAAAATCAATAGTTCATTAAGTGTTCGACATTGGATGCTGACCACGTTGTTTAAGTGGACTTGTTTAGCTGAAGGCTTTCGGTCATGCATCCGCACCAGATCACGTTTCAACTCGGCGTGGGACACAGCTCCTACGTTTCATTAGCCAGCTCATAGAAAAGGTCCTCGATATATTGGTAACGAATCAAATATATCTTTCCTGCCTCTTCTCGTCTGACTTCTGATTTCTATCTGACTGGGAACGATCGAACATAGAAAGTGCTACTGGTAACTAGTTGTAAAATTAGAACATCCGTTGCATCCTCATTGGTGAACCCGACGTGATCTAGTACACCAAGTCAATATACTGTGAATCTGTTCCATTTTGGAATATTATTATTCATTGTTATTCTTTATTTGAATTTTATATATTGTGATGTACTTTTTTCGCGAATTTATTTTCTCGGATATATTTTACTTAGACATTTTTTGTTGTCTGTATTACTATGACGGAACACTCTCCTAAGGTTCTTAAGTTTAAGTCTATTCCCCCTATTTCGATTCAGTTAACGCCATTTTGGCCCGACAATATCGAGTCCTGGTTCTGCTATGCAGAAGCCGATTTTTGCATGCACGGAATCACGGACTCGCGCACACGTTTCCTCGCGGTAGTTAAGCGTTACCGCGCGAGTCTAACAGGTACGTAACACTTAGTATGTTTACTAGTGATGTTCCCGAAACTTACGAAACGCTTAAGCTATCGATTTTAAAACGAGGAGACCTAACTGATCGACAACGGTTAGACCAACTCCTTAACAATATCGACTTGCAACATGGTTCTGCGACGGACATGTTGCTTAGAATGAAAGAAGTCATCGGCCAACGAACTTTCGATGATGGCCTATTTAGACAACTTTTCTTGTCTAAACTCCCTCAACAGGTGCAGGCAGTGCTTGTTTCATTTCAAAACAATGCCATAGATGAACTAGCTGCATCTGCCGATCGAATCTTGGAAATCACTAGATCTTCTAAGGCCGAGGTTTTTTCCGTAAAAGAAAAACCCAAATCGACCTCGACTGACATGGCCGAACTATGTCACACGCTACACGATATCTTAGAGTTCGCAATGACCGTAGTCGGTCAAAAACCCCGCGTAGAAGTGTCTCACGTAAGCGATCTGGCTCTCGACCACGAGAGACAGACAACCCCGACTGGTGCTGGTATCATAACCAGTACGGTAAGTTTTTCAGAAATTGCAGGAAACCTTGCAATTATCCGACTTCAAAATCGACTGACACGAATAAGATTTCGGGAAACTTCCCAGCCGGCACGCGTTAACGGCAACCGTAGCCGGCGAACACAGCCGCCTCTTATATGTCACGGATGTGACTACGAAAGTTCACTACCTCGTCGGTACTGGCGCAGAAGTTAGCGTTCTTCCCGCGAACTCCAACGACAGACTTCGCGAGTCTGTTTTAAGTTTACAGGCGGCAAACGGAAAGCCGATCGCTACTTACGGTAAAAGGTACGTCTACTTTAACGTGGGTTTACGCAAACCCATACACTGGATTTTCGTGGTTGCAGATGTCTCTATGCCAATCATTGGTATAGACCTGTTACAACACCACAATATACTCATCGACACACGCTCACGAAGGTTAATAGACGGAAACACCAAGTTATATGTTAGCGTAACTCCTTGTTCTGGTTGAAGGTTATCCCCAGTCACGATTAAGCACACCATAGACTCCTTGTACCAATCAGTACTCGACAAATACCCCGGGATATACCAATCGCAATCGAAATTGCCTTGTGTAACCAGCAATGTTACACATCACATCACGACTACAGGACCACCTGTATTTTCGAAAGCTCGAAGGCTCGCTCACGAGAAGCTTAAGTTAGCTAAAAACGAATTCAACCACATGATGGACCTAGGAATAATTCGACCATCGAATAGTTCATGGGCATCCGCATTGCACATGGTCCCTAAAAAGGACAGCAATGATTGGCGGCTAACTGGTGATTATCGGCGTCTGAATGCGAAATCCATTCCCGATCGTTACCCGCTGCCTCATATTCACGATTTGACAGCTACTTTGAAAGGTACAACTGTCTTTTCGAAAATCGACTTGGTTAAAGCTTATAACCAAATCCCGATGGCACCTGACGACATTCCTAAAACCGCCATAATCACTCCTTTTGGTCTCTACGAATTTCTAAGAATGCCTTTTGGTTTAAGAAATGCGGCTCAAACCTTCCAAAGGTTTGTAGACGACGTCTTCCGAGGTCTCAACTTCGTACATACGTATGTTGATGACTGTCTAATAGCAAGTTCGGACAGAGAATCGCATCTCAAGCATCTGGACATTGTTTTCGATCGACTCCAAAGGCATGGCATTACTGTCAACATACAGAAATGCCAAATCGGAACAAACTCCTTAGACTTCCTAGGACACACCATTGATGCCCAAGGCATCCGACCCCTTAGAAGCAAAGTGGCGGCCATTCTGGATTACCCAGAACCGACCACGATCAAGCACGTACGAACTTTCGACGGACTTGTAAGTTACTATAGACGGTTCATACCCAAATGCGCATCCCTAATGAAACCGTTAACCGATCAGCTTCGTGGAAATGCGAAATCAATTAGTTTAGACGACATAGCCCGTAAAGCATTTTCCACAGTTAAGGAACACATCGCTAAAGCAACCTTGCTTGCTCATCAGGACAGTCAAGCGCCCATTAGTATCGCCGTAGACGCATCCGACTCAGCAATCGGAGGAGTCTTACAACAATGGGTTAACAACTCGTGGCAACCTTTAGGATTTTTTTCGAGACGGTTGCTAGACGCGGAATCTAGGTACAGCACGTTCGGTAGGGAACTCCTAGCTATGTATTGTGCTGTACGGCATTTCCAACATTCCATCGAAGGAAGAGAATTCACGCTTTTTACCGGTCGCAAACCTCTTACCTTCTCCTTAAGTTCATCTTCAGACAAGTACTCACCGCGAGAGTCTCGACAACTCGACTACATTTCGCAGTTTACTTCAGACATACAACATATTTCTGGAGCTAACAATGTGGTCGCAGACGCCTTGTCTCGAATAAATTCCTTGAACAGTTTCCAAGGAATCGACCTTCTTAAACTCGCTCAGCTTCAAAAAGAAGACATTGATCTTCAGCATGAGTTATCCTCGACAACTCTAAAACTAAGTATTAAGCAGATGGGAACAGGTAAGGAAACCTTACTCTGTGACACATCTACAGGTAGAGGTCGTCCAATTTTACCAAAACATTATCGACGCAACGTCTTCAATACGTTGCACAATCTTTCTCATCCAGGTGCGCGTGCAACCGTCAAACTTATAGCTGAACGCTTTTGTTGGCCTGGTATGAACAAAGACGTGAGGGAGTGGGCACGCTCCTGTGTAAGCTGTCAGAAATCTAAGGTAATCAGACACAACAAATGTCCCTTAGGTTCTTTCAAAACCCCTGACGCTCGTTTCGACCACGTCCATCTAGATTTGGTATGACCCTTACCTGATTCAAACGGATACTCATATCTCTTAACATGCGTAGACCGTTTCACTCGGTGGCCAGAAGCAGTACCGATTAAGGACATTACTGCTGAAACAGTGTCCCGCGCTTTCGTCGAACGATAGGTAGCAAATTTCGGCTGCCTTTCCACAATCACTACAGACCGCGGACGCCAATTTGAATCTGGACTTTTCCGTTGTCTCACCTCACTATTAGGAATCACGCGCTTCCGAACGACCGCATACCACCCACAAGCAAACGGGTTGGTAGAACGTTTTCATCAACAATTAAAAGCTTCTTAATCAGCTTCAAACGTTTCGCAGTGGACAGACGCTCTTCCACTCATCTTGCTAGGTATCAGCAATGCAGTGAAAGCTGACATTGGATACACGGCATCTCAACTCGTTTACGGAACGACACTCCGACTCCCAGGAGAATTCGTGGATCCTTCAGCTTCATCATTGAACATGGATCTAAGCTCTTACACGAGTAGGCTTACAAACGCTATGCGTTCAGTTAAACCTACTCACACTCGACCTCAATCAACTGATGTTTTCGTTCAACCCGAATTACGACATAGTACACATGTCTTCGTTCGTCGAGACTCACATCGACGACCCCTCGAATCAGCATACGAAGGACCCTTCAAAGTTCTTCAACGCGAACCTAAGTACTATGTAGTAGATAAGAACGGTACGAAAGATAGCATCAGTATCGATCGACTCAAAGCAGCGTACTTAGAAGGAAACCCTGGCTACGTCGATTTTCCTTCTGTACAAGCAAACGACACAGCCACTACACTCGTAGTACCCTACACGACAACCGACACACAACTTGATACTTCGTCAACATCAATAGATAAACCTAAAACAACGCGTTCTGGAAGAAGAGTAAGATTTCCAGAACATCTTAACGAATATTGCACGTAGGACATAAGTTTTATCTTGAATTACCTTCTCATAGTTTATTATAAAAAATTTTTTTTATATGCTCATTTTTTATTTATATAAAAAAAAAAAAAAAACAAAACATTTTAATCTTTTTTTTGAGCGTATATATATATATTTTTTTATATATAAAAAAACACAAAAAAACACTTTTTTCCTGATCGCTTTTACGCTGTTTGTAAGTGTATTAGTTTTTTCCGCTCATCTTGCGTCCCTACGCAAGTACGAGTGTATTTTTGACATGCACTCACTCACACAGCTCCTACGTTTCATTAGCCAGCTCATAGAAAAGGTCCTCGATATATTGGTAACGAATCAAATATATCTTTCCTGCATCTTCTCGTCTGACTTCTGATTTCTATCTGACTGGGAACGATCGAACATAGAAGGTGCTACTGGTAACTAGTTGTAAAATTAGAACATCCGTTGCATCCTCAAGAACATAGCTTTATAATATGTGTTGGTAGTGGAAATGTAATAAGTATTGTCAACATGTGTGAAGTTGCGCTTACTATTAAAATTAAGGATTTCTAGTATTGGTTTCGACTCTGAAATTTCTGAGTGACGACTGATTATAATGGTGTTGTATAAAGTCATTAAACATATTTGAGGATGTCCCTGTGAAAGTATGGATGAAAATAACCTCACGCATTTTTTTCTGTATGTTTATAATCTTGATGTTCTAGTGTATTTTTTTCGGTTCTCACTCGTGATCTGGTGCAGATGCATGACCGAGCACCTTCAGTTAGGTAAGTCCATTAAAACTAATGTGGTCAACATAAAATGTGAAGCACTACTGAGCTATTAATTTCGGGGATTTATTCACCGTGTAGTGCCATGCTTCAATAATAGTTCACTTCGATAACCGTTATTATATCAATCTGAACTACTACACTTTTATTGACGAATAACTTAGGCTAGAAGGCAGTGAGCACATGAGCAAATGTTAGCGAGCGAAGTAAAAAATGACATGCATGGGAGTTGTCTGGTAAGCCACCTCGCTATGAGCAAGAATTAATCGACATTTATAGTCAGATAAAATGAATGACAGACATGTGATAGGTAGGATAAGAATTATGCATACACAAACGCTCATATAAAAAATAGTCAAGGTCAATAAGCTAATAATTAACATGATCAAAATATGACTCATAACGTTATAGGTGAATTGGCTTGTCCAGAAACTAGAATAAGCTATGTAGGTGTAATATAGTACACGACGTTACACTACTACCCACAACCGCTACAATGAGACTTTGTATGTCAATTTAAATCATTGAAAATTTCATCATTCGTCCGATAACATTAGCTTATTTTAAAATTTCGGAAATTATAGAAATATACTATTAGAAGCACTCCTGTTGAAAATTTTCTTAAACTCCTTGTGAACTTGTGCAAAGAATGAAATATATGGACGTTCTATGAGCAGTGTCAACGTTTTGTTGAACGGTCTTTGACCTTCAGAGTAAATTGTTAACTTAAACAAAAATATTAAAATATCTATCTTCACATCATCAGCGTTTCTATCTTTGTTGAATAACATTTAGAAATAAAAATTGAGGATTTTTGTAAATTGTACCCGGAATTTTCAACTGACTTTGGCACATGCTAGTGTGTTATTCCCGTTGGAGGTAAATATGTTCCTTAATGTAGTATTTACTCAGAATTTTAATTTTGTTCCGTGGTTTGTATTTATAAGAAAACCTTTTTTCTCGCTTAACCTTTAGTTGTTCGCTGCTATTCGAGTTCACAATACCGTTCAACCTATTCCTCATTGTTTCTTATTAGCAGAAGAAAAATTACCTGCCTAGTAGCTATTTTGATCATTAGTTCTTGTTTCGTTAGACATTTTGATCGTTGTTGTACTCTAATGCGTTTTATCTGTCTTTGTTCGTTGGTTTGATATTCAGTCTTTATGTTTTCTTACATTTCTGTGCTAGTAATTATAGTGGTAAATGTTAGTACCGGCAGATTTTCTTGCTGCTTATGAGGGTTGTTATAAATTTTATGATACTAACTTTGCCAGTGCTTGTTCTAATATCTAAACACAGCTTACACAAACATAAGAATCTAGAATATACTCATCCTCTTAGTTAATTAGGTAGATATTTCATTTACTAAAGTTTCATGTCTATCCTTATATCAACTAAAACGTTTTTTTTCCAGAGAAGAGAAATTGGTTTGTAAATATGAAAATATATCGTTCTTGCATTTCTCGTACAACTGATTGATCCTGAAACGATCGTGTGAAACTCAATAATCACTAACTAAATACTTTGTATTAGGGCAAGTCTGTTTATGCTGTGGGCCACCCTATATTTATGTGTTCTCAAAGCATTGACTATGTATATTGAGATAATGGAGTAGGCAATGTTGAGGTCAAGTTTAGGGTTCTGGGGTTATGTAACAAATCAGTTTACAAAATTCGCAATCTTTATCGACTGAGATGACCAAGGCATGATTTATATAACAGTCAATCGGTCAGCTAAAAAGTAGAACCCGGCACATATATGCATCGGTTCAAGTTGCCACATCTCATTAGCACAACAAGATGAACACCAAATTCATAATAGTTACTTCAATGGTGGTAATATATAAAAGGAAGATTGTATATAAGAATATTGTACAAGAAGGAGGAAAGATATGAAGCAATCTTAATCTCGTAGTTTAAGGGAAGAGAGAGAATGCATACATCTGAGCCATTGTGATCGATTTTGAGCCATATCACCCAGAGTCTCCAAATATTGGTTACGATAGTCACGCTGACCCAAATCAAGTAGTCCGCCTCTTTATTTATTTATTTGAACACATAAATATTGGTACAAAGGGGAACCGAATAGATATGCGCCACACGAGTCACTTGATTTGTATGTGGGCTTTGATACTGCTCGGGTGCCCAAGCCTTAGTAGGTGGTTTTCTTAGGGGGCCACACTCTAAGCCTTAGATCTACAGGTCTGACCCACAAGGCAATGGAGCAACGTAAGGAGATGTAGTCCCGTGGTAACTGGTGACCAACAATTAGTTCACACGCTATTTTTTCCCCTCAGGATACTGGAGCCTATTTACACCATTGTTTTAGAATCAATGTTTTCCAACTCCCCTAGGTGGACTCTGTGTCCAGCGACCCGGTTAAAGCGCCGAACTTTCTCTTCTTTTCCCCTCAACTTCGTAAACAACACCCCCGCCACGAAAAGTTATTGAGTAGGGCCTCCATAACAGTGGCTGTATACGCGTGGCCATGTGAAATCATTTCGAGATGGAGAGCTGACTCTCCCCACCCTCGGTCGTACCAGGGCATTTGGGGGCTAATACAGGAGGAAACAATTGGTTCGTAGAAATAAAGGTATTGAGCAATTTTAATCTCACAGTTCAAGGGCAGATAAAGAGTGTATACACCCGCGCCATTGTGATCCACTCTGAGCCATATCACCCACAGTCTCCAACCATTGGTTACGATAATCAACCCCAACCAAGTAGTCTGCATCTGCCAACATGGCTCAGACTAGAAGTTAGTGACTTCAAGCACTGATGCCACGTTTTGGTTTGGCCCCCCTAACTCTCTTCCAACCATCCACAACACTAGTCAGCATAGAGCGTCTTAGTAATCGGTGTTCAGGCATACGTAACACATGGCCTAACCATCTCAGTCGATGAAGATTAAAAGCCTCATCAATTGATTTACCATCATTCTCCAATACCCTGCGTCTAACCTCACCATTACTTACCCGGTGATCCCAGCAGATGCGAGCAATATTCCTGAGACGTCTGTGATCAGATACTGGTAACTTACGAGTATCGTCTACTCTGCCCTTTTGTACCAATATTTATGTGTTTAAATAAATAAAAATCTCTTAATGGCCACGTTTAGCAGCCGTAAAGTAGAACAGAATGGACTTTCGCACAGTATGCTCGTCCTTTAATTGATAGACAGATACCTCGTCTTCGCCATAAGTGACATATGTTGGCAAAAGCCATACGAGCTTTCTGAATCCATGCAGAGATTTCGTCAGACACGAACCTATTAGGGCTTATCAGACTTCCTAGATATTATAGTTGTCGGCGCGTTCGACTACTTCACTCTCTGTCTTTACTTCCAGTGTTGACGCAGGCCAGTTCTGAAGCAACAACTTGCATTTAGAGGCGGAGAAACGCATCCCAAACACCCTGGCATTGTTGCTCGGTGCTACCAAAAGACTGCATTTATCAGCGTCTTCACCAAACACGACTGTGTCAACTGCATATTCTAAATCGATAAATGGACCTCCTGGTGGATGAATTCCTGAAAATTCAAACGACGAGAATGTCAGCTGTTCGTATATCTTTTCAAACAACATCTGGGTCAGCCTCGTTTTCAGAACGTTCTTAGTGTGACCATAGTTGTTCCTGGAGTCTACTTTTGACTTCCTTGTCATTCAGTTCAATTCTAGTGGGTCTTAGTGTGGTTTTTCTGCATCCAGTGAAGCGCAAGCAAATGCATGCTCCTATTAGAGCGTAATCGGAGTCCAAGCAGGTATTCCAATACGAGCGACAATCTTCTATCGAGCCTCTCCCACGATGACTGATGGCAATATAGTCTATCTGAGCCCATCGTTGGTTTGGTTCAGGTGGTCGCCATGTTAGACAATGTCTCTCCTTAAAATTAGTGTTTGCTAAAAATAAACGATTGTCTGAGCACAGTTACAACAGACGATCATCATTATCTGTTCGCTGAGCCGGAATACCAAAATACCTACCTAAATGTTTTTCTGTTTGGTTTAAGCTACCCACTCGGGCATTAAACTCACCTGCTACGAGTACTATGAGTGTTTAGCTCTATGAAAAAGTTCAGAGAGGTTTCTATAAAAGTTATCTTTCACTTCATCCAGGCTGCAGTCAGTGGGAGCGTAGGCAGAAACGACGAAAAGACAACGTGTATCCCTATCCTTCGGAGTTCTTACGGAGCCGTTTAACAGAACAGCACATAGGCGACTGTTAATGGGGATCTATTCTCATAGTGCTTGTTGTTCCCTCGTACTTGATGTTATGCCTACACCTGCCAGTCCACGAGAACTAGCCATTGGGTCGCCAGACACATGGAGGGTGTATCTATGTGAGAGCATTTCGAGAGGGAGAGCGAACTCTCCCCACTCTCGGCCGTACCAGGGCATTTGGGGGTGCGTTCCCTCTGAGTTGCGATATTCTCCCATACATATATTCTTTTCCAGTCGTATTCTCAGTGGGTTTTTTCAATATTATTGATACTTTAGTTATTTAAACCTTTTTGCCATTCCTGTTGTAAATTTCATCTCACTGTGCTGATTTGATGTGGCGACTTGGACTGATGCACATTTGTACCGGATTGCATGTTGATGATGACTAACCATGTACTCGGAAATGCAATGTACATATGCTCCCATCTAGTTTGGATAAGAAACTAGGTATGCAAAGTTAGTGGCTGTAGTAATGTTTATTTGTTAAAAATAACGGGTCATTGTTAACCCATTGGGGTTTAGGAATTACTTAAATGATTGTTTAAATGAGCTGCTCCCCATGGTATTGATACAAGGCTTAATTCTCTTGAGGACGTTGTGAGATTCCTTCGTTCTGGATATCTACTCTGTCTTATAGTAAATTTACTTTGATATCAAGTTAAGCGGTTCGCTTGAAGTAACTAGTCTATTTCCATCGGAGTTATTCAACGTGCAAATTAACCTTGCAGTCTGTGATTTCAGTAACTCTAGGATTTCCCGGATTGAGTAAAGGCTCTAATGAATTTAATTTTACAACCAGCTCACCATAGAGCAACGCTACAGAAAAGCTCCACAAACGCGTTCCTACACGTTCTCTTCATGGCTTTTATAGATATATATATCTGGTGCCCCCTTGCATCAATATTTATGTATTTAAATAAATAAATAAATAAAATAATTTTGGGTCTCTTGACTACTAGAAAGGAATTTAGTAAGGAGTCAATAATTTTGAAGTATTGATGATTTCCTCAAGGTGATGAGTACTTCCAAGTAGCAAAACATATTTCTGCTCGGAAAGTTCTTACAGGAAGTAGTGTTTTTCCAAATTCTTATCTGAAGTGCACAAATCCAGTTATTCATAAATGAATTATGTATTACCTAGTTTATGGCCTCAGAACTGTGGGTCATGACACAAGTGTCTGCTTCCAACTAACTGAATGTCAAGCCCCCCGTACTACTAAAACAGTTGACAGAGCTGAATCGGAAATTTTCAGGCAGAAAAATACTACGCAACTCACATTTGAGATCTAAGTCATCACACCAGGTGGCCAGTATACAACAAGAGCACTATATTTCTCATGAAATCTACGTACGTAGTCCAGGATTGTGTTCTCCGATCTCAACGACGTTTATGTGTGGGAACTTGTGATGTTGATTGGCTGACTAAACCGAGCTTGGTAGAGCAAGATTCGAAAATGCGTATCAGTAAATGGAATTTAGGTCCCCTAACGTCCAAAACACTTCCACATCATGCGAACAACATGTAATTGGCGTTTCTGGTGACGTCTCTCCCATTAACAGGTTATAAATAATTGATTTCAAAAGTAATACACTCTCGCAACTTCACAGATCTCGTGCATCTACACCGAAGTTTATGATGTAATATCATAGTCTTGAGAAAACGAGAACGAATAACCCCAAAGTTTATGTGCAACCATTCTTAGGTCACAATTCTAATTCACAAAAGGTAAACTTGAGAGAAGCAGGACGGTTTCCGTTCAGGTATCGTATGTGTTGATCACGTCTTCATTTTGGGAACAGTCACACTTATTACAGTCAGCGATCATTGTGTTCTTCTGAATAATGAATGCTTTCGATTCGCTGGGTAGAACTGTGTTTTGTAATTATTTATCCAGAAAGGTGTGTTGTAAAAGCTCACTAACATTTTCATGGCTGTATTCAGAAATACATCAAACAGAGTCGGAGGATGCAACTACCTATCGTTGTTCCAATCCAGAGGTTGTGCATAGTCACCCGATCCCACCGTTCCCCTTCAATTTCCCAACGGTGAATTTCTGGAAACAGATCTGGAGAGAGGATGTGGTAGTGTAGATTTGTTTTCTCTCAGGTAAAACTTTCTGAACCCGAGTGAGTGGAAGTCTATTCATCTCGGTAGCTGTGTGAGTGTTGTTAGTGGTGTAGTAGGTGAGGTCATGTACCCATATATTACATCAGCAAGATTGAATTTCGCTAGCACTTTTTTGACCACGAGGTCGTATACGTAAGCTTTATTGCCACATTATTAACAGTACTCAAATTGATTATCGTGTCCTTTTGTTTGAGTAAACACCTATCTTTTACTATCAGTAGTTCTGGGTAAAGCTATTTATTATGCTCAAATAAAATATTCAGCTAAGTTATATTGGATTTCTAAATATATTTAATGACTCAAAGATACTTTGAATAACCATTTTTTATGTTTGCGTATATTTCTTTCAACTATTGAATTACCATTTGACCGTACTTTAATCTGTTGTTTCACTTCAGATTTACTAACAAATTTTCACAATGAGTGAAGGGAGAACTGCCATTCAAAGATGTGAAGAACTTATTTCTCGATGGAAATCTGAACGAAATTCACCAACATTTGACCCAGTTCCTTTGTTAAATAAGTAAGCAATTATAAAGTTCCATATGTTTATTCTTATTTAATCAGCTTTTCAGAATTACTGGAAGAACAGATCAATTTATTTTTTAGTACTGACCCAGATCCTTTTGATGATCGTCATCCGCTGCGGACGGACTCTAGTTGTGATTTAGGTCAGATATTACGCCTTCTGTCATCTCACGATGCCTTTCTGGAACGTTTAACTTATGTTTATTTGTTGGGTTCTAATGATCCATCAAACGAACTAGTAATTGCGGCATCACGACTACTCTGTGCAATGAGATTGGGTGTGACTTTGTCATTTTCACTGGATGAAGAGGTATGATTAAAGCCCAATTATAACTGAGTATTTTTTGTAGGATGTAATAATTAATACACTCTACAAGTTGGCATTGAGTGAAACTGAGCCAACTAATTGTTATGCTTTGTTTCTCTTGGGTTCTGTTCTTGATAATACAGAATTACTCTACATTACACGACAAAAGAATATACAATTGGTTTGTATTTTGATTGTTTCTGACTAATTATAATATTCTCACCTATTAAATAATAGATTCCGATTGTGTTAAATCGCCTACTCACTTACACAGGTCAATTACAAAATGAATTATCTTCAAGTGAGTAGTTATTTATTAATTATTTTATTTAAACACATATATATTGGTACAGAAGGGCACCAGATACATATGCGCCACACAAAATAATAAAAGTAGGAAGAGAAGGGATGAAAAGATAAAGCGGACTGAAATGTACAACCAGAAGACTCTTTCAGTTAAGAAAGTTAGAACTACTCTTTATGTAGAAAGTAAAAGAAGGTTGCAGCAGGATCGCCACTGGCTTCTATTCTGAGCCATATCTGATAACGTCTCTAGCCACTGGGTTGCACCATCTCTCGGACCCCAACCAGGGAGTCGTGAAGGACCAACAGAAGCTAGCCCTTTGCAGCTTTCTTTCATGCCACGACATCATGTCATACACTGATTTCCTCTACGCTTTTTCCAACCAGTCCCAGAGTCGGCAAATAATGCACGACGTGGAAGTCTCTGGGACGACATTCGTAAAACATGTCCAAGCCACCGAAGTCGGTGTTTCAAGATGGTGACACCAATTGAATTATCGTCTCTGCGCCCGAACACACGATGCCGAACCTCTGCATTACTAACATGGTGTTGCCACTGTATGTCAGCAATCCTTCGGAGACAACGATGATCTAACACAGAGAGACATCTAACATCCTCAACTCGGAGAGGCCAGGTTTCACAAGCATAGAGCAAAACTGCTCTCACCGACGCGTTGTAGATCCGACCTTTTACAGCCAGACTAACATCACGAAGGCGCCAAAGATGGCCCAGATTAGCGTAAGCCGCTCTGGCTTTCATTATACGTGCATCAATCTCATCACTCACGCCACCACCAGCACTTATATAGCTACCTAGATACACGAACTTCTCAACTACTTCAATCTGCTCACCATCCAGGGTGAGTACAGGATGAGAATCCTGCCAGTCTTGTAGGAGTACTTTGCACTTGGAGGGTGCAAAGCACATGCCGCATCTGCGGATACTGATTGCCAACTGATTAAGTGCGGATTGCATGCCTTGGGCATTATCGCACAGTAAGACGATATCATCCGCATACTCGAGGTCGAGAAGTCGTTCTTCAGGCGACATATCCACACCGCCATTACTTACATCCATCAGAGCTGTTTCCAGGATGTCATCGATGGCAAAGTTGAAGAGGAATGGTGAGATCAGGCAACCCTGCCTGACCCCACTGCTCGAATGGAACAAGGGAGAAAGGTGGTTGTATGTCCTCACTCTGCCTGAGGTGTTCGTATACAGGGCCTTTAAGATGTTAATGAACTTCTCAGGCACACCCTTCTTCAATAGACAATCCCAGAGAACAGTCCTGTCCAACGAATCGAAGGCAGCCCTGATATCAAGAAACACTACGATTGTTGGCCTGCGATAAGTATGACGGTGTTCTAACATTCGGCGGAGGGTGAAGATGTGATCAATGCATCCTCGACCAGAACAAAAACCAGCCTGCTCCTCGCGAGTCAATCGTTCTCGGGTTTTAAACAACCTACGAAGAATGATAGAAGCCAATAGTTTGGACGCAATCGGAAGTAGACTTATCCCCCGATAGTTATTGCAGGAACAACGCGAACCCTTTTTAAAGATAGGGACGACTATTGACTCATTCCATGATGTTGGAACACTTTCTTGCTCCCAAACCTTTGCAAACAGCACCGTCAGTTCCTTAGTCAGAAAGTCATCACCATCTTTAAAAAGAGCCGGAGGTAAGTCATCTGGGCCCGGTGATTTGTAACGTTTCAAGAGTTGGAGTTCCTTGCGGACTTCTGCCTCGTTTGGTGGATCGGTCGTCGCTGGCCATGTGGGGGGGCAGGACAAACTGGTTGATGTTGCCGGAGCAGCAGGCCATTTGAATTGCCCTTCGAAAAATTCCGCCCATCGTCCAAGACGTCGAGAGATGTTGGTGATTGGCATCCCATCATCCTCGTAGATTGTTTCACTTACACCAGACGTCTTGCTGCCAGTGGCTCGGATGAGTTGGAAGAGCTTCCGGCAGTTACCAGATGCAGCTGCTGCTTCCATCTCATTAGCACGCTCCGACCACCAGGCTTCTCGGTCGTTACGCAAGCTTTGCCCAATTTCATTACGTAACAGCCTTCGTTTGTGGTCAAACTCACGGTCACCCGGAGTAGACCGACGGACTTCCATCAGTTGTAAGGAGCCAGAAGAAACCCAATGCTTGTAAGCTTGTGGTCTGTGCACAGTTGCAGCTAACGGTCCCCGTTATCTGTCCTGCGACCAACAATTCCCCATCGGCCACCTAAACGACTCTCTTCTGTGCCTAGACGCCCGACCTGAGCATTAAGTCTCCGGCTAATACTACAATATCTGTCGAACGCGCTTTCTGGAGAAAAACTGTTAACTGGTGGTAAAACTCATCCTTGATTGTATCCGGGCTGCAATCTGTCGGGGCATATACTGAGATGACGAAAAGACACCGTTTCTCACGCCAGTTTCTTCTCACTTTGATGGAACTTTCTAATCTAACAGCACATAACCGACTGTTATTGGGGATCCAATCGATCAGTGCTGTCTCAGCCCTAGCGCTTAGTGCAACACCAACGCCTGCAAGACCAGACGAAGATGCCACAGAGTCCCCGGATAAGCGCACGTGAAACAAGCTTTTCGAAGCGATAGATGGAGAGCGAATTTGTAGTACTTCACTAGAGTCTTGAATACGGGTCTCGGATAGACAGCAAACATCAACATTAAGACTTTCTAAAGACATAGCCAGCCCCATCTGTTGTCCGATCTGCATTAGTGTGCGAACGTTGAAGGAAGCCAGCTTGAACGGCGTACGTGGTTTCAGAATGACTGCTTCAGTATTCGTAATCGGTGGAAGCATTCACTTTCAACCAGACAGTGACTGGAGATCGTTTAGATAGGACAGAGTTTCCACCATGGACGAGCTACTGCATAAGTTGGAAAGGCAGGATAGACAATTTGGGAATAAAGGGAGTGAAAAAGCGACGTAGTAAATAATAGTAATAATGATAATAATGGTAATAATAATAGTGTAGATTGTCTTGCTTCTAATATGAGCGAGAATAGTATCGTCAATAGAATTCATCATTTCATTTATTTGTGTGTGGGCTGTGATACTGCCCGGGTGCCCAAACCGAAGCAGGTGGTCTTCTTAGGGGGCCACACCCCGAGCCTTTGACCTAAAGGTCTGATCCACAAGGCAGTGGAGCATCGTGAGGAGATGCAGTCCCATGGTAGCCGGTGACCGACGGTTGGTTCGTACGCCATTCGTTCCATCAGGATACTGGAGCCCATGTGCACCATTGGTTTGGAATGAGGGTTTTCCAACTCCCCTAGGTGGACTCGCCTTGTCCACCAACCCGGTTAAAGCGCCGGACATTCGCTTTTCGTCCTCTCACTTTCGTAAACAACACCCCCGCCACGAGAAGGCAGCGAATAGGACTTGTGTGGCAGAGGCTATATATTCGCTGGTCATGTGAGAGCATTTGGAGAGGGAGAGCGAACTCTCCCCACTCTCGGCCGTACCAGGGCATTTGGGGGCAGCAGTAATACTTTATTATATCCTTTTTTCAATTGCTTTTGACTCTTTAGATACCCAGTCAACTTTCGAAGGTGGTATGACAAATTTATTAGGAAGTTTCATTTTAAATCCACTGAAGACGGAAATGAAGATTCGACTTTCAATTGCCTATTTGATCCCACTGGCTGAATATCAGGATGTATGTTTCCTTTTTTGAATTTATATATATATATATATATATATATATATATATATATATAATTCGTGAGATGACATACTTTCATATACTTTTGAAGACATCAGAATAATCCCATACTAGTCAACCACAAAGATTTTCTAAATGTTATTGTTAATTTGGTCGTATACAGGAAAGAATATCGGTTTGCGGATAATTTGATTATCATGTTGCACTACACATGAATAAGTGCTTAATTCAGTAGGGTGTAATAACTTGGTTTCTACTTAACTATTCCATTACGTTTTTTAAATATGTACTTCATCTACTTGTTTTTTAATTATTCAACGAATTATTCAGAAAATGATTTATCCATTAAAGTTGTGTAGGTTTGGTTAGACATCAAATCTAAGATAAATGAATGAAGATTTAAAGCAATTAGTCTCTTACACAAATTTCGATAGCGCAACTCCATCACCTCATTGCTCTATCGAAATGGAGATTTGCCATCTACGTGACGACCGGGATCAATGGTTAGAAACCTTAATTGATGGCTTAAAATTGGTCGCAGTAGTTTAGATGCATGTATGATCCGTTTTATCCCAGACTCTTAGTTTCGGAGCTGTTTCATAGTTTATATTCATCAATTTCATTCCTTTCATTTGAACCATATATCTAATGTTTGATTGTTTCTACTATTATTATCCTACTCCTTTGCTATTCATCTTGTTAATTTTATTTTAGTTACAATAGCAACTAGTGAGTTTCTTAGTTGATCATGAGGTTGTTCTTCGTGTCATTTGAATCTAGGCCTGTGTAAATTCACTTAGTATTCCCACTATAAACAAAAACCTAATCCGATATTATGAACTTGACATATTACGACTTATCAGTCCATTAGATCTTATTTCGAAATAGCATAATTTTCTTTACTAAGTCGTCCTTTTGTGATAATCAGCATTATATTCAATGACCTTTAAAAAACACATTCGGGCTTGGAATAGAATATCATATTTGATATAACGACCAAAAATTTACATAGGGTTACCACGCTTGTTTGGTTAAGTCATTCAGTTGTGTCGGTTGGTGTCTAGCCAGAAGGTTCTTTGTTTACTCTAGAGCGTGCACTGTAACGTCATTGCGGCGTCTGGAAATGATAAGAGGAAAAGAAAAGGTGAGTCGACGACCCAGCAAGCTCATACAACCTACCTACATTTAATTTGGAAAGCAATCGACTATAATTAGAACTGACACAAGCCTCAGATTAAGACAATCTCGGAATCAGAACTACAAGCAAATAGTTCGTCTATGATGTGAGCTTCTTATGTGGGAAGGTATAAGTTGTATATAGTAGGAATAGGAAGTGGAATGCTTACCAGCGGCAGATTGAAATAAAACGATCAGAGAGACCGATAGCAATCAGAACAACAGAATTAGAAGAATGTTGGAGTATGTAAATGACAACTGAGGGAAGATGTGCGAATGATTTATTTAATGCATAACTTTCATATTTTACAAAGACACTATATGACCCTGCATAAAACAATAAATTGATCTACCGTGATATGGCTCACAGTCGTTCGTAGTGACAAGGATACATTCACTCTTCGTTTTCTCTTATATCTTGAAATTAAAATTATCTCACCTTTTATTTCGCAAAATCATCCTTATCGAATCATTTTGTCTATATTTATTGTTTTCTACTACTAATGATACTATCCCTATTTCTACCATGGAAATTCCATCTCTTTGTGGTAATGCAATAACGCAAGTTAAACCGCTGGACATATATGACAGACAGGTCTTACGTTGATTATAGCGGACTACCTTGTGGTGTGGCAGTGTGTTTGATGCACGTTTCAACTAGGTCCTGCATTGATTATAAAGGCCTAAAAATTATCTGATTATGAAAATAACGCCATGGTTTGAACTAACGATAATCCTATAACGTGAAACAGATCAATCTGTATTAATGTAGTCATACATTTGCTTAGTCTTGGTAACTATATTTTCTTAGGTTTGCTTAAATTTCACCCTTATACAATCATACTGAAAATCTGTCTCATTGACTCTGATGGATTTATTCTCTATCTAAATCTTGATTTCTATTATTATCTCAGGAGTTTTGTTTTGGTTTCACTTGTTTTTTAAAAATAACTTTCTAAATTTTAGTTTTATACTACGTTTGATATTGTTGCGTTTTTTACTTTCTCTCACCTTACTGGTTTAAAATATCGCAACTTGGCTTAATTCACACTACTCCAGATCTTCAGTTGTTGATGACTGACTGGATAGGTGAAGGTGTAATCTTAATGAAACTAGACCTAGATATTAGTCGGAGTTATATTCTTTACAAATGACAAGTGATGGAATGGTGTGGATATGTTTTTAGTGAAACCACTGCAGGTTAAAATAATGAGTAGTTTGTTATTTTCATCTGCGTAAACTAATTGGACGTGCTTTCAAGTGCTCGGTGTAAAATAGCACTTTCAAGGATGGTTTGTTCTTTGATAAAAAATTTGTCAAGATAATATGAAAGCTATTTTATCTGTGTAACTTATCTAAAGAAAATCAAAAAAATATTGTCAATTCCCCTTCAAGATATGAATCCAACTAAAAACTGCATGAAGACATTTTTATTAAAGTGTTAACGCTTAATAGTTTAATTTGCTTGCGCTACAAGATAATAAAGAGCTTCTATTGAAATAGTTATGAAACCGCACCAATTTTCCTTGTCCATTTAGTTTGAATGCACTGTAATAATTGTTGTTTCTGTATAAAATCTTTTTCTTTTTAGCTTATGCCATTCATGTATAACGGGGGTATTTTGGACTTGATCTACACTTATCTTATGCCAGAAGTTGCCTCTCGTGATATTCGTCTTACATTTGAAGCGTTACGTTTATTAGCTAATCTTCTTTGTCATCGGTGTGTTTATTTAGAATTTGTTGAACAAGATGGTTTACAATCTGTGCTTAAAGTCCCAAGGCCATCAGTAGCCGCTACAGCTGTTAGTGTAGTTCTTTATTATACAGCCTACTTTGAAGATGCTATGGAACGTGTAAGCCTTACATTCATCCACATAGCGTTACGTGCATTTTTTAAATAAAAATTTTGAATTGTAAATCTTCTAACCACTAAGTTTAATGCATTTATGTACAATAGTTCGGTTGGAAATTTTATCAACATGCTTATTGTATTAATATTAAAAGGAAATATTAACTCATTCTCTGTTTAGCCGTTGAAGAAGTGAAAATAACTTAACAAGTGAATAAAAGGCTTTTTTTCTATGAATCATGTAGTTGTTTAATTAGTAACACGTTTATCAATTACTTTCTTGGACTTATTAAATGATGTACATTCTGTTATGTTTCGCTATCATACCCACTTGTAGTCATATAGTACGAAAAAATTGCACTGTCAAATGATTTTCTATTTGTTTCATAGTCTTGTATTTATATTCTCTCTTAACTTCTGAACGAAAGTATGACTTTCAAACTTATTATCGAGTCAACATGGAAATGAGGAACATAAGGATGATTGTAATGGTTGCCGGAGTCTAGGTTTTGCATCATTGTCTCTCATGTATATCAAACAATACTTACAAAATATTAAATACATTACATCTTTTAGTTCTGAACAGTGACTGTAATGGCTCAATGAGGGAATTGGAAGCGTCTATCAATATTCAATACTATTGATATGGTTATACCGAGATGTATCTTTAAGAGACATACAATATTGGTCTCCAAATCGTTTTAAAAAATTACTTCATCATTACATTCAAATGAGATAAACAAGAGATGTAATTGAGTTTGTAGGTATCATTACCAAAGTTTGACTTGATTGTTATAAATAAAAATATTATATTTATAATATCCCAATGAGTAGGAAAATTACATTTTCTGAAGTTTCATGACTCAGTGTAAGCTGCTTCTTCAGAGAACAAATAACCAAATTAAAATTAACCCAAGTTTAAATAGTGCACTGAGTCACGAAACATCAGAAAATCTAATTTTTCTATTCATCGGAATATTACAAATATATTATTTTTATTTGTAGTTGGGATTGTTAATTTCATGTTTTCAACCAGCTATGTGCTCAGAACCATAACTGTAAACCCCATTTCCACTAGTGCCTGTCAATCAGACCTATCGTACACCCGTCTATTCAGAGAATTGAGTATCAAATCATCTAATTCAGAAGTTAATGTTCCTATAATTTAGTTGGCCGATAACAATTATTATAACTTTTCTATTCATTATTTGTTTTGTTTATTCTTATCTTTTTCTCTCAGGTTTGTCAATTATCCAGTAGTCTACTCGATGATTTAATTAAATATTCTCTTTGGCTAGTTGAATGTTCACATCCTTCAGCTCGTTGTTATTCATTATTCTTTTTACACTTAGTTTTATGCTATGGTATAACATTTCGGCGATTTGAACAACAGAATGGTTTAGTATATTTATATAATGCTGTAAGTTAATATGTAAAACATATGGAAACTATTTAAAATTATTTATTTGCTTAAAACAAGAATTATATATGCAATTTCGATTCATAGTGGTTTGGATTATCCTGTTGTTGATATTTTGACTGAATTTTGATCAGTCGTGTATGGTATATGTGAATCCTGTATGGATTGCCTTGACTCGAACACAAGTTGTGATGCAGGTATATCCAGATGACAAGCCATAAACAGGGCAAAACATGCGTCCTAGATTCCACTGCTGGTTACATTCCATCCATTCTAGACAAAATTTTATATGCAGTTATTGAATCTTAGATCGTTCGTAACTAATGATGTGTTTAGTAATCAACATCTAACAGATTAATTCAACTATTCTTTCAAGAGTTAATTATTACTTTTATTATCAGATAGTAAAATTGTTTGCACTGGATAGATAGTGAATGACTAGTAGCAGATTAGTTCAACGATGATCATCCCTACAGTCTAGCTACAGAAATCACTCGTGTTTATCCAAATTTAACCGTAATCATGTAGAAATATGTTATATAACTTAGTAGTTTCTGACATCGTTTTGTCATAAGTTATCATTAAATGGGACTGGTGAAAAATTACCACTCTATTTGAAGTAACTACTTAAACCCTAAGCTCTCATTGGTTCTCACTCACCTATATTTGTTTGTAAATGGATTTTAAAAGCATTTATAAAGCATGTCTGTAGTTGTTTCGAAGATGGAAGCATTAAATATGATTTCAACAATGAATTGACTAAACAGTCAAGAAGTCAGGAAGACGGCTTTCGTCATGATGTAATTTGGCTGTGTTCTTTGTGTGTTGTAAAGGCAGTGGTAAAAGCATATAGCATTATGCACCTCCATCCTGAGGTTACTGGAACATACGCAGACGTACCAGTTCCTTGCTGTCAGCCGTTTTTTTTAAAATTCGGATATTGCACAGGACTTTACCGACTATGATTTTATGATAATGTGATTGGCTTCAATAGTATCGTCGAACGAGTATACGGTGTTACTGATAGGATTTTATTCGAAATTGTCACGTGACGAGAAAACATTAGAGGTGTTCGCTATTACTATTTCTTTCTAGTTTTGTTATTTGCTTAAGTATAAGGAATGACTCTTATTATTCAAGTATTTATCACTGAGATATTAATACCGACTAATATAAGGTGTGAAGCTGACTATACCTATTGCTATTCAATCTTTAACGTTTAATCATGTAATATTAAAGTCCAGGGGACTGATCTTAAGTACTTTTCTCGACGATAATTATGTTATTGACAAAAAATCAAACTTGACAATAAAGTTTTAATTGATTGGGGAGTGAGTGACCTACACAACCCATTTCATCTAATGTTTTATGACAGTTAATCGTGTTTGTGTTAGTATTTTGTGTAGAAATATGTTCTTTTATTGCGCAAAAAACGTATTATTCTGGTTGGTTATCTTGTATTTGATCTCAAATCATTCGGGGGCGGGTTACTTCAAAATTCGATCTTGTGGGGAGCTATTACTCTATCACATTGCGTCATTGCATATTATGATCACTCACTATTGTGTCCATTAACTGGACAATCATCAGATATATTTTCATTAGAAATCATAAAAGGCTAATTAATAACAGATAGCATAATTTGTTAGTTTGATAATCGGTGGTCCGACTCAAATTTAATCAGAGTAGTGCAAAAATATTTTTTGTTTACTGAAACTTAACCAGAGAATCTTATCATTTTAATTCTACATTATTTCCATGAGTTCGTTATTGGTTTGCCACTCTGCTGTTACGAAGTGTTGTACCTGGAAATGCGAACACAATTTTATGTTGCTTCTACTTGCCGATCAATTCAATTGTGTTTCACATCTAACAAACTGTGATATATATATATATATATAACAGTTTACATGTGAATGTTATTTATTAATTGGAAATACACATTATATCGATGCTGTCCTTGTCTATTTGAATTTCTAGATATGTGTCTTACCATTACGTTTGACGGAGGATAATCCGACTACCTTGAAAGATACGACTTCGTGGCATGTTGTCCGCGCAAGTTTATGTGCTATTCGTCGTTTCTTAGAAATCAGTCTTTTGTTATGGATTGATACGATAGATCCTAGTTTAGCTAGCTTATTTGATGAATCTCCAAGAGCAGTAGCTGCTGTCGGATGTCGTGTAAGTTGTTTATAAGTTAAGCTGTTTGTGATCTGTTTGATTTTAAGTATATTTTTTCAAACTCTTATTCTATTCTTGTTTAAAAGTAGCTATAATGTCCGATATCATTGTTAATTTGTTGAAATGACCTCACTATAGATAATCATCTCTTGTAAAAAAAATCTCAGAAATCTGTGTACTTATATTGTAGGCTTAGTCAGTGTTTGCCAAGATGTCCATCCTATAATGGCTTTGGTGTGCAATATAATAGTACTCTCTTTTCCGTACATTTAGGTATAATTGTATGAGGCAAAAGCCAGGGAGTTTGTACGCACTTTAAGTATTTGACGAGTCTGTCCTTGCAATGTTATATGGGGACTAATCCTAGGTTTTCAACTAAGTAATGACAACAAGTTAACGAAGTTAAAAACTTGTGTTGACTGAGAAGATTTTGGGTATGTCTAACCATGAGCTATTACTTTTATGCTCGATGTGAGACGAAAAAAAGGCAATGTAATCGAAACCTTTAGATAGTAAGTTGGCATTACATAAGAAGTAAGTAAATTTGAGACATAATATAAAAATTTTCGTATAGCTCCAACTGTATTCCTGAGCAATAACAAGAAATACTAAAATTTCCCAGACGCTTCGGACGACTATCATAGACCTGGTGGTTGAGTACTGTGTATTGTTCCGACTTTCCTTTCTTATAAGTTCAAATGTCTGGTATAGTACATTAAGCAGATGCGGTCCCATGATAGCAGGTGGTCAAGAATAGGTTCATACACCATTTTTCCCTTGGTAACATTTAACTCATGTGCACCATTAGTTTGGAACAGGGTTTTCCACCTCCCCTTGATGTATGTACCGTACCAACATAATTTATGGTAAAACGGGAATACCAATAGAAGCTGAATAACATAAATGCATTATGTTTCATAGATTCTGTTGTTTTACTTGCTTCGATTTTGCAGTAACTAAATAGTTAAAACTGTAAGTCTTAATCTATTGTACTGCATGTTCGAACTTCATCTCTCCTTTCCTTAAAAATACCGGATAGTATCACTAGCTTTCAAAAACATAAAGCCCTAATCCGGGTTCACTAACCATTACCTAGTTAATGAGTTACATTGTAGCGTTTGTTTATCAAGTGTGATGGATCATTGAACTTAAATTCTTGGTTATTTTATATTTTATTTGTCTAGCCGATAACATATACAGCTGAACAATTCTCTCGGCTCATGTCCTTAATAATTTCTCGTATTCGTCCAGATACTGTTTGGCAACCTACTCAACAGCTTAGAGATTGTGGTGCCATTGATGTATTGTATCGTATTATTGCACGGAATGTATATGCTCATAACAACTGGCCATGTCGCAGTGAATGCACCCGTTTGGCTGTTGATATATTCAACCTAATGTCTATAACATATGATTTAGCTGACGAGATTGTTTCTGCTGATGTGTATTCGTTCCCTACCAGTTTAAGCTCAGCAACATTTCTCGGTCCAACTCCACTACTCTCATCGTTAGCAGCTGGAGGCGATAGTCCGTCTTCAGAATTTGGTTCGACTGACGTAACTGTTCACTTACCTTCTCCACGAGGAAATAATCCTACACATCGTAGGGGATTAATTAATCAATTGCTTCAGATAGTTGAACAAGTGGGTAATGAAGGAATCGGCGGAGGCGGACGAGAAAGCAGTCGAGAAGATAGGCGACGACCTGGGTTAAGGAGATCTGGAAATCAAAGTAATGGAGCAACATCGAATCCAGTTTTATCAACAGAAAATCCACAAAGATCAAATGTCACACCAACCACCGTCTCGAATTTCGCTAGTGAATCTGCATCAAGATCTCAAGAACGAACAAGTGATGGTGAAGAAAATGGAGCAGAAGGTTCTTCCACATTGGACGAACGTATCAATGGTCTTCAGTGAGTGTTTTGGCGATAGGTTTTTATTGATGCCTTTTGTATACAGTTCGCACGTTGTTTCTGTTTGGACGATAGTTCCAGATTTTTATTTGTTTATCTTCGCAAACCCTAGACAATAGGGTTATATATAAGTCGGTGATGATGTAACTAATGTACTAAGGACAAGTTTTTGTAGTCTAGTTTAAGCCACACTGTCTGTATGAGGTCTATTAATACTACTTGACTTCTCAAACTAAAGTATTTGGAGTGGGGGTTGAATCTGTGATTAAGATGGTAAAACAAATGATAATTAACCACAAGGAAACACAAGTACATAAAATCCTGTGAAAGAAGGTACAGAGTAAGATAATACCTAAGACTTTGAGGAAGCTTAGCCAGTCAGTTGCAACGTAGAACCTGTATGTATGTGCATCGGTTCAAGCTGCTAAACCCATTAGCACAGAGAGATGGAGTTGTCTAGCCAAATCCCAGAATAGTAGATTTAGTAACAGTATCAGTGATAATAGGAAAGGTTGGGGATCAAAGATAAAACTCGAAAAGGAAATATAACTAGGTGAAATAAAAACGAACATAAGATCATCGGGAATTTAGAACCCTAGAATTGAGAGGAAGACAAAGAATGGATGCACCTGCGTCAGTGCAAACGATTTTTAACCGCTCCATTGCATTGTTGCTTAAGGTGGTCAGAAGACTGTGTATTTTATCAGTCTTTACCAAATAAAATGATATCATTTGCGTACTCTTAGTCAGTAAATGAGTCTTCTGGTAAGAGATTAGAGGTGAATGCAACCCCGTCACTGAAACCGATTCAAAGACGTCAATTAAACCATACGACTACCGATTATATTGTCTCTTGGACTAAAAAACTTAAATCTCTTCACTTGAAACAGACCAACACCAAATTTATTCATGGGTTGTTACCGTGTATGCATTTAGCCACCCATAGCCCTTTTTCAATCTACTATGATACCAGTGTTACATCTAAGTACGAATCAGAGACAAAGTTATGTGAAGTGAAGTTGGTGAACAACACTAACTTAATCATAACCCAATTCATGAGTGAGTTTAGAGTATTCTTTCAATGACATTCGTTACCGCAAAATCTGTCGGTCGACACTCACACACCAATTTCAGGTAAAGAGATACAATAAAAGTGTCTCTATGTTCCGAAGCATGACGAGTGGTAAATTCCTCTTCTTTTATATTTTATGAACACAACTACTTATAGGCTTTTCTAAAGTGTTGATTTTTGGGATGCGTATGTGGTACTACAACCGATTTTGAATCACGTCACCTAAAATATCTAACTATAAGTCACATTGATCTTACGAATCTTTTCAAGTACTTTGTATCTCAACAGTCAGTAACTTAACCGACAACTATTGGTAAATTCTAATTTGGTCATCTCCAGCCTTTGTCTAACTTATTCTTATGGTAACCAGCGTTAGGCGTTATTCTCGTGATACTTTCCAACGATTGTCATGTTTGTTTTTAATGTATCCTAATATTCATAACTGTCATTAGTATCAATATGTTCTACCCTAATCTTTAAATACAATATACCTTTTTCAGAATTACGAATGACTCTATGGGTGAATTTTGTAGATTAGAAGTCTATCATGCCTTAAATTTTTTTGTATATTGCAGCATGCTATTTAGTATTTCACGTGAAGACGACAATTGGGATGTATCGGTTCATAAAGCCGTCTTAGCATTTATATGCACATTAGTCTATCGTCCAGTTGTAGAGCATGAACATCCAGATCAACCTATTTCAGTAACCGGTTTATTATCGAATTTCACTTCTGCACCGAATTCAAATATGGGAAATCATGCACCCTCATCACCACCGCCTCCTCGAAATTCAACGAATACTACACCGAGTAGTAATTCATTTAAGGTAAATGATTAGTCTTTTTAGTTATCAGTCCCTAACACTTGTTTTTTCATGCTTAACAAACGAAAGTCAGAAGTGTTTTACTAGTTTTATCAAGTACGTTTATTAAATCATGATAGCTCCCATAAGTATAAACACTTTGATTACCCAAGATAACGTATGGCTGACAGATTCATTTATTTTTTTGAAAGTGATGGTGACGAGTTAAAATGAGACAAAGTTATCGGATCTAGATTAACAGCTGTCTATTCTTCCCATTCAATGTTTCACAAGATCAGATTAACTAACCTGTAATTTTGATGTGAAATTTATACATTTAATTATAATCAGTTGAGACAAAGCCCCTATACCTACGTTTCGTACCAATTGTCGCTCATCAGCAGAGAGACTCTGGAATCGTGAAGATACTGTCATCCCCTGTGTAATTCGAGTCCTTGTTAATGAGTGTCACATTCACAGAAATGCTACCCTTAAGCCTTTCGGACCAAAACTGACCTCTTGTAGAATTGAGATGTTCTCATTGCCTGATTATTGAGTAATAACCAATCTTCTGTTTGTCCATTCTTTAGTGCTGAATAAATTCTATTGACCTATTTATGATGTGCCCATTAGTCTAAATGATTCGACACTGAGTGTAATGTATGGTGGTTCGAGCCAACCATTAAAAATACCCAAACCTAGATTTCGTGATGTCTGATGCGTGTATTGCATTCCTGCCGTAGTCAAGTTAGATTTATCATGGGATAAATTATTTAAAATTCAAAGATAATAATTTAGATTAGAAGTTGACAAATGTATACAATACAATTATTGAATTACACGTGAATCATAAAGTATACCTACCGCATTGATAGATGCTCGAAAACTCATTCCACCTGGCTCTGAACATAACGAAGAGTGGAGTCAGCTTAAGCGCAGGCTAATAAGAAACCTACGCAATAATCGTGAACAGTAGTGGGTAGCGAAAGCAAGAGAGATGGAAAAGGCATCGGCAATAGGTAACAGCTTACAACTATTCAGACGTGTTAAAGAAACCGGTATCAGGAACCCAACTATCAGCGAAACTATCTCAGATAAAGATGGACATATCATTCATTCTCAAAGATTGGATCGATGGGCAGAACACTTGAGGGATCAGTTCAACTGGCCTCAGCCACACTTCAGTTACCCACGATCTCCAGTCTTCCTGAATGGCAAATTGATGTAAGTCCTCCAACTCTCTACGAGGTTAAAAAAGCTATAAGAAATCTGAAACGAGGGAGAGCAGCGGGCCCTAACAGGTTCACTCCTGAGATTTTTAAGAAAGGTGGTCCAGTACTAGCAGCGAGATTGACTGAGGTCTTAGGTAGAATCTGGGATGCGATATATATATATATATATATAGAGAGAGAGAGAGAGAGAGAGCGAAAATACAAGTGGTGACAATCGAATGCACTTGATCACAAAATTACAGAACAGCTTAGTAAAATCTGAGAAATATACAGTGAATACTTCATTTGCGAAATATCAGTCAATCTTCTCAGACTGCATTGTTCTTTCGTTTACACACCAATCATTCTCCGTTCTCGTTCTTTTTTCTCCGATCTTCTTGAACTTCTGCCTCCAGGCATTTCACTTTCCATTGATGATACTTACTACTTATATCTGTCGATATCAGTAGCACACACCACGATACTATCTACTAAGTAATAATTAACATAGAACCTGGTCCAGGTATGCATTAGCCTGAATAAACATGATGAGTAGCAAAGGAATCGTAATAATTTGTTGGAAATGATAATGGAATAGACCAAAGGTTGAGATTATAGTTCGAAATAACGGAATAAAAAGTATTCATGAGGGAATACGCGGATTCAAGATCTGCAAAAAATGGATCCATAATTGTAATAAATTTCAAACTGACACCCAAATTTTACAACTTTTGAACGTGGTTATCGCGGAGGTCGGAACTAGGTAGTCTGGATCTACTTACATAGTCTAGACCGACGGTTCGTAACTTCACAGACAGATTCCTTTTTCGATGGAATTATTCTGTATTTTGTTGATGAATATGAATTTTTCTTTAGAATAGCTTGTCCATTTTTTTGTGCTATAGTTTATTTAATTGAGGCTTTCTGTCTTTTTAATGTAAGAAGAGCTGTGTACTTGTAAGTTGAATTTCACCTATTTTTGTCTCTCACTACAATTCCTGTGGACATTCCATTTTCTCTTTTGCTTTCTGTGTGTAGTTATATCAAGATAGTAATGATTTCGGCACAATTTCAGTTGTTCAACTAGGTTATCGGTTTTGATATTCTTTTACTCCAACATCCCGATAAACAAAGTTGTTCAAAACCGATTATTTTACATGATCCGCTTGTTAATTGACAAGTTTTTTGTAGAAATAGATTTTCTTTATAAGACATAAATTTCACTTTTATTTGCGTCCCCCTAATTTATAGGCTCCGCAGCGTACAAATAGTGCACGCGGTTCAGTTAACCGAAAACGTCGTTATGATGAAACCGTAGCACCATCTTCCCCATCTTCCATCTCATCAAACGTGTGTTCTCGACTTAATCAACCATCGACTCCATATCAACAAACAGGAACACATTTAGTTCAATTTTCAGAATCTTACATGCCATCTCCATTCGGACGTCAAAAATCAACTCAACTTCTTTATCGTCAAGCAAAATTGTGGAATATTGTCCGACGACAGCATGGTATAATGGTATTACTTTATCATTTAGAAACTAAACAACCAATATCTGAAGCTGATAGTGTACGAACTTTAGCTTGTCGAGGGTTAGTAGGACTTGCACGATCTGAAGAAGTTCGTAGTATGTTGGCCAAACTTCCACTGTTTACTAAAGCTCTTTTACAATGTAAGTTGTTTTTGTTATCTCAACTAGTAATGAATATTTGTTATAGTGAAATAAATATTTACTTGGAAGCCGTTTCTTAAAGTAATCATATTATAAATAAATACAATAATCAGTTTTGACTTATATTATGTTGAAACTGTTGAATCACTACATTCACTTCAGTCTTATAACCAATAAAATTGACTTATCGAAAATATTATCAACGTTTCATTTTTGCTTAACACTGAATGTAGAACATTTTGTTTATTTATAAAATAAAAAGTGTTTAGTACGTAAGATCACCAAGGTATGTATCGTAAAAAACAAATTGCCATATACGGTGTTTGATAACATTTCGAACCATTGAGTTATACAATATCCAAGAGTTTGTTCAAGGAGTTGTAAATCAACATAGTTATCCTCCATTTCATAACATCGTTTTACAATGTCGGTGTTGCGATGTGAGTATCAACCTGTGCCCGTTTGAAAGACGTCTACAAGACGCCTTCATACCACTGAAGTCAGGGTTTCAAGATAGTGTTATTAATTGAATTCTTATCTTTATGGATTTAGTCCATGTCATATTTAGTTTAAATGTGATAATGTTGAACAGTTTTATTGTATGTCAGTGAACTTCAAACGCATATTATTTCCTATGGCCAGTCAGTTTATTACATTTTCTTTTGACGTAATCATCTCATTAGTATACTAATAATTTATTAATGGGGCATAGGTTTAGTAATTTTTAAAAAATAATATGTACTCTAAATTTAGCTTTACATCAACTCCTTAGTTTTCGCATAATGTTGTGAGGTGTATTATTTACTTGTTAGTAATAAAGATTTCATTCTATTGTTTTCGTTCAATTTATATTTATTTACTACATATATTTACATAGTACTTATGAAAGAGCCTGTCCTACCAGATCGATTAACTGAACATGCAGAATTTTGTCGTTATGCTACAATGCTTATACGTTTAGTTGTTGGAACTTTATCTGATGGTGTTTTATCGGGTGATATGTCATTGGAACGTGTTCGTCGAGCAGAGATAGTCGCAAAAACCCGAATACAATGGGATCAAGAAGAATTATTAGAATTAATTTACCGACATTTACAAAGCAAAGGTAATTAGCAATATAAGATTATACACGTTTTATTGTTTATACTTTTCTTTGTGTTACATTTAGCTTGTATTTAATTAAGTTTTTAAACGATTAAAATATGACATACCAGATTCTCATCAATTTGTAAAAATCTCATGATAATTAATTGATACTGTACCAATAATTAGCCTTACGAAGTAGCATTATAATACTTGAAGCAACTTGATTTTGAGTTTTTCTTCCAAAAATATACAGATATATTCTCATTTGATTATTACTATTATTACTATTATAGTGAACAAAACACTAGTTGGGGACAGTCGAATGTATTTAGCCACAAATTACAGACTATCTCACTAAATTCTGATAACCATACGGTTAACAGTTAATTTGCAAAATAACCATCAATAGTCTCAATCTTAACTATTCCTTCTGCAAATATCAGTCCGTCTTCTCTGATTTCATTGTTCATGCATTTTCGTACCGATTGCGCTTCATTTCTGTTCTTTCTTTATCGATCTTCTGCCAAAATACATTCTGTGTCTGACCATTACCATATACTACTTATACGGATATAAGTAGACCACACCACGCTATTATTACTATTACTAAATAGTATTTTTAATCCATGTTCTTTAGTTAGCTTATTCAATCAAGTTTAAATTATTCTCGGTACTATTAGTATTTGATAGAAATTAAAAAAGCCCCTTGCTTATTGATGTTATTTGTTCATCAGAAAATGCATTCTTTATTCTACCTCCAAACATTTATAGCTCAATATTGTAAGTATCTAAAGAGGCTTCAGTTCACATTATCTCTCATGTTGGACAAAGATATTTCCAATCGTTTAAATAGCATAAATTTCTATTTGGTTTCAAATTAGATGTATATATATCACATTAACTAAGTAAATATTTGTATTATCAGTTTTCAGCAATATATCTTGTGCTTTAACTAACGAAATTACTTAACTGCTTACACTGAACAAACTGAATCACGATTTGGACCTGTAATCCAATGATCGGAATTCGAATATTTCAAGTGTATTTGGCCCAATAGAGAAGCAGCTGCCCGATAAGTTGGATGGTCAAATTCCAGCTATCAGTTCACAAATGTACACTATGCTTTGTAATTGAGCGAAGAACTAAAATAGTTTTACTGACCAAGATTATAGTTTGTTTTATAGACTTGTGCATGGTTGATGGCCTGGCTGATATATGGCAACAAAATGTCTCATGTATTTTTTCCAGTTCCACCTGTTATCAAATACAAATCGATCCACAATAGCGTGTCACGATGTGTAGTTTGATCAGTGGATAAAAAATTTGATTTTACAGGATATGGACGTTTGTGTTCTTGACATTGAATCAGACTTTATAAACTTTAGTGATACTATATGTGACTGCCCAAACAAGCACTCAATTAGTGGTCAAAGGGTTGAACTTTTAGCCATTAAGTCCAAGGTTCTACACTCACACCACCTACTTCAGTTTGGATAATCGGGTAATATCGTTGGTCCTGACGCTTGGAGTTACTCATACTTAAGTACCTGGTAAATAAGTTTGCAAATAAGACCCAAACCGATGTAGGTTGAATAAAGGTTTAAACTTGTAATCAAGTACTTTAATATTTAAGCCACCGCCTCCTCTAATCGATCAATTTTAACTAAAATCATAAATTAGTTTTAGTTACTTACTTAATTTTTTCCAATCTATTTCAACTCATTTTTCTTAGCTTCCTTTAGATAGGTTTTTAAACCTTATACTGAGAGCTTGAAAATTCTCTCTTTTTCTTTTCTATCCCCCGTAGGTAACAGGATAAAGTTGTCATGTCACATAAAGTTTGCGGTTTAAAGTCCTCGATTATACAAACCTTAAAGGAGTGATAGAATCATTCCTATTCTAGTCATTCAATTAATTAGCACTAGAATATTTTTTTTCGATTATTTGTTTCAAAAATTGTTCCAGTGGAAAAATGTCATTATTCATGTGTACTAATAGATGAGAAATAAGTTTAACTCAAAATTAAAGATACTATAAAAATCATTAGATGATAAACGATTAAGATCGTATATGTCACGCACTAAAGTTTATCGATAAAGAGAAGTGCGTTGTATTCATCAAAACTGTTTTTATCTTGTATTACATTTTCAGTAGTAATCTACAAGAAATCAGTTGACTGGTTGCATGTGGATACTTTTTCTATTTTGAAAATGGGAGCATTGAACAACAGGTGTTTGGTCTCAGTATTGGATTGTTTAGTAATAGTATATACCTAGTAGCTTTACTATAAAAAAATAATGAAACCTGGAAATTTCAGGTATTACAACAAATGTTTTGTGTTTAACTATCTAATGCAACCTGGTTTTCAGTGGTTTGTCAGTCAAACTTAGCTTGTGACGAGAACGTTCAAGAAAGGGAAATTGACAACTGTATGTTTTTACTTTTTGCCTTTTAATCTGATATATGGGAAAGTCTTCTGTTGGATTGGAACTTTATTCAACCGGGCTTTTCGTTGTCACTTCATGTTTGTTTATATTGATATGTAATTTACAGGCTTGCATGAATCTGCTACAGCACTTCAACAGGAGGCTCGTTTAAAAATTGTCCCTGCTGCACCTAGTCAGTTGCCGCTTTATGATGATTTTAGCCGACCACCTGGTGAAACACCTCCATATCAACCGTCATCTGGAGTTGTGCACGTTTCTGACTATTTAAACACAAGTGTTGATTCGTATAATAGCTCTTCGAAACGAGATTTCGATACTATTGAATCAACTTCAATGGTTTCTAATTGTGAGAATATTGGTCCAAATAGCGATAATAATACTACTAATACTTGTGGTGAACTTCCTCCAACTCCAAATCTGAGATTAACTAAAATTCGTCATAATGCAACTCCTAGTCAAACTCCAAAAGTAAGCAATTTTCTTATATGATTTCAATATTGCTATTTATTTAACCTTTTGGTTTTTCAGTATTCTTAGATCTTTAAATTTCGAAAAATGTAAAGAGTTTCCAGTCGTACGTCTTTACTTTGGAATGAATCAGTCAGCACTGTATGACTAGACAACATTAAATTGATTTACTATCAATTGATGTGATTAATGTGATTATGTAACTGTTCATCCTTATTTTAAGACCAATGAACGACATAGACTAATGACTTGCAATCTTATTCAGAAGCTTTAAGTCCCATACTAGTTTGTATGTTACAAACAAATTTTATTGCTTAATATTTCCAGCCTCAATCTTGTAATGAGTTCTTTGTGTTATCTCACAGTTTAATATACTTTGTCACAATAGTCGTGCTCTTTATTTTCCATAGCTGCAATGTTTCATTGGTGTTATAACAAAACAAAACTTAATTTGGTCAAACTAAGCCCTAAAGAGACTTCATAAGAATAGCTGATCATTTGAGTGAATACATTAAAGAGCTAAATCTATCATGCATATATAAACTATTCAATCAGGATAATGTGGCTGAATTATTTATTGAGTGATAAGTGGTGCATCTTTGTAGCTGAGAAACATAATTTTGTTGAAATTACGTTTTCTGAACAGGATTGTTTAATCCCGAGAATTTGAACTGTTAGACCGGGGCAACACAAAAATTTTTTAGAAGCTTATTACTCAAGTCAGTTAGTAATCAATATCCATATTGAAATAAAGCCATTTTGTCAACCGCATACAATACCATAAACAGCTACAAGGCCAGAAATAAGGTCAAGGAAGAAGATAATAAAAAAACGTTCATACGGCCAAATGACAACTATCAATTCAAGATCGACATTACAAGCTACTATTCTATGATTAAATTCTCATAACTCAATGACGTTGTCTGGAGCGACAATTGAAACTTCACGATTAAACCACCCAATTCAGAGAACTCAATTGCAACAAAATCGGATAACGAGTGACTAGCTATTGTTAGAAGTAGAAGCCACCATGTCACCTATTACCGTTTTCTTCTAATCGTCGGAAAAATTGGGACAAATAATTAGCTGTACATGCTTAAGCATATCATACTGATAACATTAATTCTTGTATTATCATTATAGCTCGTTTAAGATTATAACTTATTGATTTAAACACTTAGCTTTCATCCATGATCTTTTCATTTATCAGACTTTTGGGTTGGGGGGTGAGGGTGTATCGCATATTGAGTCATTATACTATACATTTATCGCTGTACTGCTGTCATTTTGATAAGATGAAAACCGTATGAAAGATCCCTTATATATTGATGACCTAGTGACTACAGTGAACAATAAAGAAAATAATCATTTCTAAGTTTATGAAGCTTTATAATAATAATAATAATAATAATAATAATAATAATAATAATAATAATAATAATAATAATAACTTAAAGCCTATATGGTTATATGTTGATTGATTTGATTCGTATAACTTGTACATATAGTCAACTGGATGTGTCTTTATACATTTCTCACAAAGTAATATAAACAATAATTGTTTTTTGTCTTTGCTTTTAAGTTGAAAACGAATTGATTCATTAATTGACTAAGGTTGAAATGATAACGATCTTTAGGAAATTTTTAATTTTATTGTCTTATTATAACTTTAGTTAGTACTCGATCACATTTCTTTTGTTAACCAATACTGATTTAAAATTCTTTTTCTTATTATTTCTTTTCAGCCTTGTCGTGATCGTTTTGAAAGACCTGGCCTACCAAATCTCTACCTCAAACCAATATCTACTCAACCTGTCTCTGAAATGACTTTATCTAAAGTAGTGGAATCATTTCTGTTGCATCAACATTCACAGTGTCCTCATCCTGTTTCTGTTTGTCCGAAGTTTTCGTTGTATTATCCACATCGTTGTCCAGAACCTCGACTTAATAAACAAACTAATTGCTGTCAACGTTTACTTTTACGTGAAGATCTTTACGGTTCATTAAGACTTAAACCATCAACAAAAGAACTTCGACATTTTTTACATCGAAGATTTCAACCAACTGCAGTTATCCGAGAGGCTGATGATGATATGTTAACAGCATGTTGTTTTTCTGTAAGTTCAGTGTTTTTTCAATGTGTATTTTCAGTAATATAATAATAACAATAGTACTTTTCTTGTCGTTATTACTATTGCTTTTACTCAAACAGAACAGTTGTTTAGGTGTTAAAGTACTTAGCTTTCAATCAGTATGTCACCTAATCAGAATTAGATTGTCGAATGATATTATTAACCTTCTCATATAAAGTGCATAAATTTACCTGTACTTCGTAAATAATTCTCATTAAGTTGGGAGATTAAAACATAAGTCTACACTTGTTATGTTGATTTATCAGTTAAGATATGCAATTAGTTGTTTTTTAGGAGTAAACAGATATATTTCATCATTATTTTGAATTTACAGTGCTATACATTCAATGAATTTCATTTCATTATAATGGGAACGTTGGTGTCAATAGTAAGACAGATTTACAAAAGAAGATCTTAATAAAGGAAAACAATTAAATAATTAAATACATATTTCGTTTTGTTCATCGTAAATCATTTCAGTAATCATGTATGCAGCATTAAAAACTGATGTAACTGTGTTAAAGGTCGTAATGAAAACCGAGTGAAGTTGGTAGATATGGATTAACCGATCTTCAATCAGTGGATAAGGAGTGGTATTATTGCTCTTTGTGATGTGGGTTTCATGTATTCTGTGTACATATTACTAGACATTTTGTAGAATAACGTCTAAGTGGTTAATGAGTTCAACTTTCACCTACTTAATCGTAATTTCGATCCGCCACCTACTTCATCCGTGGCATCCGTGTATTATAACTAGCCCTCACAACTAAAATACGGTTCTAAGCGAAGTTTACAAATCTGTACTCTTTAGTGGCTAATAATCAAAATGGAGAGTTTGAAACTTGGATGAAACAGGTGTGTAGAGTAGCTTTCGGTTTACAGTGATTTTCAAAATGGCTTACGCAGATTAAATTCAACGATAGACTAATAAATCTATTCGGTTGTTGTTTTATCTGTCTGTTCCATGTAGCAGTAAAATGAGGGAGTTTAATTCAATTAAGCCTTCATGATCGTAGTCTTGTAACTAACTACTTTTGTCTGTTTTAGTTACAATAACTTGGTGTCCTGTGTTTGTTTTTTGTGGATCGTTCATCAAAGTGGATATGTCAAATCACTTTACACACACTTCATATCTCCTCATTTTGATATTTCTTACAATGTTTGGTAGTAACACTGAGTTTTATTGACTAAAATAAATGTATTTAAATACATTTTTGATGTACACTTGGTTATTAGCTATCATGGGACTGCATCTCCTTACGTCGCTCCACTGCCTTGTGGATCAGACCATCAGGTCGAAAGCCCCGGGTGTGGCCCCTTAAGAAAACCGCCTGCTCCAGTTTGAACACCCGGACAGTATCATAGCCCACAGACAAATCAAGTGACTTGTTTGGTAAATATATATTCGTTGCCTCTTTGTACCAGTACTTAAATGTTCAAATAAATAACTATTTAAATACATAATGCGATTCCTTTTGTTGCTTTTCTTTAGAGAACAGATGATGGTCTGTTTTTAGGTTCGAATTCAGGAGCTATTGCGTGGGTTAATGTTGAAGAAGATGGTTTACCCATAGAATTATTTCATATACAATCTTCATCTATTCGACGTTTGGCTCATACACGTGATGGTGAACGCTTATTAGTTTGTTCTGAATGGAATGAACCTGCTACAGTTGTTGCTAGACTTAGACCATCCACAAATGCAAGCTCGAATTCAAACAGTCCTTGGGAGACTGTTTCCGATGATTTTGTGTATGTCAAATATAATCATACTACTGTATTTATGGTAGAATGCTAATGTTAATATTATTGGTTATATTAAATATCCATTTAGCATGTTAATAACTATCTAAAGTCACTAAATCAGTGGATAACGCGTTGGAGGTCTTAAACAAAAGACATTACGTTCGAGTCTCAGTGTGAAAATTAGCAATGGTATACAGGTACTTCCAAATACTGAGTCCTAAAGAGGATGGAATACTCGTCATGGGCTCCACTGTTAATCGTATACCAAATATACTATTATTAGTCCTAACGTTTACGAATTTTATGTTTCGTAGTGATTAGATCAATTGATTTTAAAACTACATCATTGCATGACGGTGTCAGACGACTGAATTCTTCTAATCTGTTTAGTACACATTATTGTTTTAAGAGTTCAGGGTTATTAACAATCTATATATTGATGAGTGTCAACAATGTTATTATTCATTAGGTAACTACATATCTATAAATCGTTATATCAAGACTCATTGATATAAGTAGAATGGACAATGTCTAATCTCTGTTAAGTTCATTCAACCTAATAGTGATAATTTCCTGAAGTCATGTATACTAAATTTTAACATTGAAATTTTGATTCATCCAGATAAAAAAATGTACTTTTGACGATTCGTGTTTACTGAATACAGAGTTTGATATCTTGAGTATTAAAGAAAAAAAAGGCCTAACGACAGATTTTTTTATCATTTTAAATTGCTTTTCGTTAAGATGTTGTTGAATCGTTTTATTTTTAAGCTTTGTAGTATTATACTCTATAAGCTGTGATTGATTTAGTTGTGAATCTCTCATTGGTGTTTTATACAACCTCCCGTTACACATCATTATCACTATAATCATCATTTCAAAATCTTGCTGTGGGAAAATAGGACTACTCTCTTATGCTTTAATAATAATAATGTATATTATAGATGTATAGTTTCTATTCATTCAAGTGACTTTAGAAGAAAAACACTATGCAGTAATTTTTTCCATTTCTTTCGGCTTCTTAGTGAACTTATACTCTACTAAAGAATCAATCAGATTTAATATAGTATCTATTGAATTATTACACACTAATTCAAAGTGTGATCACGGATGACTTGTATCTTATAAAGATATAATCTATCAATATTTAATCAACTGAGATATTTGAAATTGATCAACATGGCGAGATGGACTTGTTCAATTTTTAAACTGACAATAATGAATGGATTAGTGTTTCATAAGAAAGTACAATTAAACTGTGTATGGTATTTTTGATGTATGAAATTAACTGCTAAGCAAACACTGGTATTCATCAATATGTCTATGAAGCATTCATTTTATTATTTACTATTATTATTCACTCCTAATTTCTAATCCAAACATATAAATCTAACTTTTTTTTAGTGGAGAGGGAGTTATTTTGTAGTGAACGAGAACACAAGTGGGGACGATCGAACACAAAATAACAAAACATCTTAGTAAAATCTGAAAACTATACAGTAAATACTTGATTTGCAAAATATCAATCAAACTTGACTGTTTCTTTTGCAAATGTCACTCAATCGTCTCAGACTTTATTGTTCTTTGTTCTCAATCTTCTTAGCTTTCTGCCTCCAGACATTTCACTTTCGATTGATAATACATACTACTCATATCTGTCGATATCAGTAGCATACACCACAGTGTAATAAATCATTCATTTATGTTCATTGCATTCTAATTAGCTAGAAATTTATTCTACTTTCTTAAAGTCATTGAAAATGATCGATATTGTGCACTTTTTCTAATCTCATTTATATACAAAATTTGGTATAACTATTAATGCTTAATTTATGTCTTGGATTTATAACTCTGATATTTATTTTGTTTTCTCTTAAATTGAAGATTTCGTGTATCAGAAGCTCGTCACGCAGAATTCAGTAATACAGGTCATCAAGATCGTCTGGTAGCAACCTATGGAAAAATGGCTAAGGTGTTTATATTTGATTGTAATAAATAATTGTCTTTAATTATTATTTCATTATAACCATATTTAGCCATTTCTTTAAAATATTTGTCTACCTCTTTTTTATTTTAACTCAATATGATAATCATTTTTGCAGTTAACATTAGGAATCGACCTGTGTTATATAACTACTATAAATTAAGGAAGGATTCGCAAGTTAACCTATACTAAGATAAAACTTCTATCTAGTGTTCCGTACTTTTTAACGGTCACCTAATGTAAGTCATTTCGTGTTGTAAACTATGAAATTCAACAACTTTTATAAACCCATTACACACCAATCATTTTTAGCTAAGCTATAATTATTATCGAATCTTGTAGATTACTGTGATTTGTTTAGTTAAAAATTGACAATATATCAATGTTTTCTAAGCATGAACAAATTTCAATGTATGATAATAGTTGTCAATTTCAATCCTTAACAAATCGTTGCGAATATGTAGAACATAATTAAGTAATAGAACTGTCTTAGTCATTTTATCTCTTTACAGCTCATTTAGAGAGAGCTTAAAAGAATGATTCAGTAGTAGTACAATAAAAATGTCAAATAGTACCTAGTACATGAGGTGATATGTCAATTCTCTATCAGTATAATTTTATAGTAGTATTTAGTATGTATTGAGATACAGTGTGTTTGTTCTGTCAAAGCAGTACTATGTTTTTTGACATCTCTTATGAATTACGCTAATCATGTTAAATTATTTCAAAATCTTGAGAATAATTTCTTAATATTTCCAGGTATTTGATCTTACTACTAGAACTCGTGTTGCAGATTTATTCTCTGCTGTGAAACAAAGTGGCTACATTTTGAATAAAGCAACATTCTCACCATCAGATTATTTAGTATTAAACGATGGTGTTGTATGGGATCTAAGATGTACTGGATTACTTTCAACTAGTTTCTCTAGTTCACTACAATATCCTGGTACATCTTCTCGACCTATACATAAATTTGATAAATTTCAAGATATTGTATCAGGTGTTTTTCATCCAAATGGGCTTGAAATCATTATCGGTTCAGCTGTGTGGGATTTAAGAACATGGAGATTATTGCATACTATCCAACCACTTGATCGACTTGAAGTACAATTCAACGCTTCATATGATGTAATATATGCCGGTAGGTTTCCATAAATGTTTCTATTTTTCCAAACAGTGATTTCTACCCCATATATATATATATATATATATATATATATATATATATATATATATATATAATTTAACGTTCATTTTGTGTACTATTTTAGGAATATTTGGTTTAGACGATGAAGAGTATGCTGAATTAGGCAGTAATCGTCTAGCTATGCAAAATATGTTTCGTACAGTCGATGCTATAGACTACAGCCTAATTGCTTCAGTTGATGTTCGTCATCGAATTGAACAATTAGCTTTGGATACTGCAGGACAGTCGTTGGCACTAGTTGAGAAAATAGGAGAAAATAACAGTAGTGAGCCTATTACTCAGTGTAGAATTTACATGATTGGTCGTAAACGCGTAAGTTCCTGATTATTATTATTATTATTATTATTATTATTATTATTATTATTATTATTATTATTATTATTATTATTATTAATGTTCAATTACACGTTTTTCATTTGAAATAAAGTGATATTCACGAAAGTGGGTGTTAAACTAAAACTTGACTACCGTTTTAAAGAATATCAGATGTAACTGATATGGATATGTGAAGTATTTCGTGTCCAGCACTTAGTCTGTCCCAGATGTCATGTCAAGCAATGTTTCTTCATGTATTTAAAGTTGGCACTTTACAGATGCAAACGACTGTCTTTTCGCTAGGTCGCAATATTAAAAGCTTTATCCAGGAATCTTACTTCTTGGCCTAAACTACTTACTTGGGTGTTTAAGTTACTCACTGTAGTCTTGTTTTGAGAATAATGTAATTTATTGATTAGGACTATGTATATTTACCCGGCTGTGGAGTCCAATTCTGTCCTGAGATCTGCTAGTTGATAAAAGCCAATTGGGAGACTCTAGGTGACCTGGCTCAGAATCGATCACAATGGCATAGGTATACACTCTTTATATTCCCTTAAACCTTGAGATTAAAATTGCTTTATAACTTTCTTCCAATCTATCTTTTACACACTACCAGCACTAAATTAACTACTTTTATGAATTCGGTGTTCATTTTGTTGTGTTACCGAGGTATGGCATCTTGGACCGATGCATATGTTTGCCTGGTCCTACGTTGTAGCTGACTGACTGACTGACTGAAAAGCCAATTGACTGAACCACTTAGCTACCTCTCCACCATTTAGAATCATGTACTCATACTCTTTGAGAGGTTGGTTCATCATTATGCTTGTTTTTCAGGAGAACTACCCACCATTTAAACTCTTTACAATTCTTATAGCATAGTTTCATGATGCACAATCGTAGATGTATTACGAACTATGATGGATAAGTTTGACTAAAAAGCTGAGTAATCATAGATTATCAAATAATTTATTGTTTCATGATATCACCGCACTTCAATCCAAACACTTCCTTGGATTAATGACATTTTCTACCATTCAGAAATTATTACTTCGAATATTTGAATCTTTATTTTTCAGGGGGAGCGTGAACCTGACAACGATGATGAAGAGGGTCGTGAAGATGAAGAGGATGATGAAGATGATGATGATGATGACGACGACGACGATGATGATGATTTATTGAATGGCGATGCTTCTGACGAACTTGCCCAAATACTTGATGAATCTTCAGATGATCTAAGTACCAGTGATTCAAGTGATTGGAGCCCATCTTCAAATGAACAACAGCGTGTTAGAAGACGACGTAGACGCCGTCGACGCACAGAGGCGAATGCGAACATCACAGAGTCCAATACTGCTAATGAAGTCGCGAACAATAATGATATAAATCCTATTCTAAATGCTGAAAACGCTCTCATAGATTCTCAAGCAGAGTCCAATGAAGTCATGGGTCGAGCAAACGATGGTGATGATGATTCATCATGGGAAACACTTGAAGAAGAAGAAGTCACAGAAGGCATGGAAACATCATCTGAAGATTGATTAAAAAATGTACTAGTGATAATAATAGTGATAGTAACAAACAGTTTCGCGATTTTGTTTATTTGAAGATGCTGTAATTCATATTTAACATACTGTATATTATATGCATACTTATACTGGGCTTTTTCAATGAATATTGCCTCTCTGTATAAAAGATCATTCTTTTCTCTCTCTCTCTCTCTTGTGTTTCCCATCACTTTCATCATTTTGTTTATATATATATATGCTGTGTTCAAAAGTTTCCTGTTTCAATTAATCTCCTGTTTTTGATACATTTATAAGATTTTTTAGATAGTATGATAAATTAAATGTATACGTTGGAAAAAAATACACCTGAGTTTTCCTTTTGTGGTTTGTTTATGTCAAGTTCGTTTAAAAAAACTAGTCTATTCCTCTATTCATTTTAATCATTTAGCGAGATCAACGTGGTACCCGGTTATGATAACTGTGAAAACCATTCACTAACATGTACTATGTCAATCGTAAAATGACTGTTAACTGTCTCTTTTATTTATTTAAACACATATATATTGGTACAAAAGGGCACCAGATACATATGCGCCACACAAAATAATAAAAGTAAGAAGAGAAGGGATGAAAAGATAAGGCCGACTGAAATGTACAACCAGAAGACTCTTTCAGTTAAGAAAGTTAGAACTACTCTTTATGTAGAAAGTAAAAGAAGATTGCAGCAGGATCGCCACTGGCTTCTATTCTGAGCCATATCTGATAACGTCTCTAGCCACTGGGTTGCACCATCTCTCGGACCCCAGCCAGGGAGTCGTGAAGGACCAACAGAAGCTAGCCCTTTGCAGCTTTCTTTCATGCCACGACATCATGTCATACACCGACCTCCTCTACGCTTTTTCCAACCAGTCCCAGAGTCGGCAAATAATGCACGACTTGGAATTCTCTGGGACGACATTCGTAAAACATGTCCAAGCTACCAAAGTCGGTGTTTCAAGATGGTGACACCAATTGAATTATCGTCTCGGCGCCCGAACACACGATTCCGAACCTCTGCATTACTAACATGGTGTTGCCACTGTATGTCAGCAATCCTTCGGAGACAACGATGATCTAACACAGAGAGACATCTAACATCCTCAACTCGGAGAGGCCAGGTTTCACAAGCATAGAGCAAAACTGCTCTCACCGACGCGTTGTAGATCCGACCTTTTACAGCCAGACTAACATCACGAAGGCGCCAAAGATGGCCCAGATTAGCGTAAGCCGCTCTGGCTTTCATTATACGTGCATCAATCTCATCACTCACGCCACCACCAGCACTTATATAGCTACCTAGATACACGAACTTCTCAACTACTTCGATCTGCTCACCATCTAGGGTGAGTACAGGATGAGAATCCTGCCAGTCTTGTAGGAGTACTTTGCACTTGGAGGGGGCAAAGCACATGCCGTACCTGCGGATACTGATTGCCAACTGATTAAGTGCGGATTGCATGCCTTGGGCATTATCGCACAGTAAGACGATATCATCCGCATACTCAAGGTCGAGAAGTCGTTCTTCAGGCGACATATCCACACCGCCATTACTTACATCCATCAGAGCTGTTTCCAGGATGTCATCGATGGCAAAGTTGAAGAGGAATGGTGAGATCAGGCAACCCTGCCTGACCCCACTGCTCGAATGGAACAAGGGAGAAAGGTGGTTGTATGTCCTCACTCTGCCTGAGGTGTTCGTATACAGGGCCTTTAAGATGTTAATGAACTTCTCAGGCACACCCTTCTTCAATAGACAATCCCAGAGAACAGTCCTGTCCAACGAATCGAAGGCAGCCCTGATATCAAGAAACACTACGATTGTTGGCCTGCGATAAGTATGACGGTGTTC